GCATTTTCTACCAAACCTTAGGAAATGCAATTCGTGCTTCCAGGTGAATTCTTTTGGTAAAACTAGAGAGATTAAAGAGCCAGGCTATATACCAACATTTAAAGTGCAAGGCCAAGTGTATCACTTATCAGGATCTCTGAACGCTTTGTCTAATGAGTCGCCAAAATTCTTACAGATCTACTTCATGACAAACTGAGGCGAACAAGCCATATAGTGTGGAAGCAATGTTCTGGGGTTGAACAAACCCCTCATACTAGATCCGCAAGACATGCCTCACAATGGTAAAACGAACACCAGGAGCTTCAAGTCCACAATGGAAAGAATGACTGCAGAAGAATATAGAATAATCATCCATGCAGACAAGACACCTGCTGACCAGCACGAGCAAAGGTACAGTCCACCAACTACTGACGAAGTAGCCATCCTGATTGTGGGTGAGGAGCATGGTAAGCGGGATATTGTGTTGTAGCAACGTGACAACAAACTCAACTGAGTGTGTGAGATCAACAGGGCATACGATGCCCTCCAGTACCCAGTCTTATTCCCACGTGGTGAAGATGGCTACCATTTCCAGATATGGCAAACAAATCCCAGCACTAGAAAGTCAAGGCCTGACAAAAAGATACCTGCTATGGCTCTTTATGCGCACAGTTTGATGCAACGTGAAGGCAGTTACAGCATCCTTTTGTGTACAAAAGATCTCTGCCATCAACTCATCGTAGACATGCATGCCAAGATCAAAGCTGAGAGACTCCCTTTTTTCTGCTTCAACCAGAAGAAACTCAGGGCTGAGGGGTACATTCATTTGTGGGATGCATTTATAAACGATGGTGACGCTGACAACATAGGTCAATTGGTCATCTTGCCATCCAGTTTCACTGGAGGCCACGGTTTATGCACAAAAGAACCCAGGATGCATTGTGCTATGTGTGAGCATACAGTCAACCTGACCCGTTCATCACATTCACCTGCAACTGTAATTGGGAGGAGATCAAGCAGGAACTGCTCCCTGGACATAAGCCACAGGACCGCAATGGTCTTGTAGCCAGGGTTTTCCACCTCAAAATCTTAAATTGATGGAGCTGATCACCAAAAACATGTCATTGACAAAGTCCGTTGTTACCTCTAAGCCATTGAGTGGCAAAAGTGTGGTCTTCCCCATGCACACATTTTTCTATGGCTCATCGAAAAAATTCAGCCTAACCAAATCATCAGTGCCATCTCTGCAGAACTGCCAAACCCAGATTGAGACCTTGTGCTCTTTGAAATCGTAAAGAAACACATGATTCATGGCCTATTGGACAATTCAACAGAAAATCTCCCTGCATGAAAGATGGGTCCTGCTTAAAGCAGTGTCAAAGGAGCTTCATATAGGAGACCCAAAAAAGTCAACTGGAGGTGGTGGATTCCACCCCGTATTGACAACCAATTGGTTGTCCCATACAATCCCTAGCTCTCTCCGCTCTTCAATGCTCACATCAATGTCGAGTTTCGCAACTCCCTAAGAGCAGCAAATATGTGTGTAAATATGTGAACAAGGGATGTGACATGGCTGTGTTTGGAATGAGAGGGAGGAAGCCCCAAGAGACGAGATAACATACTACCAGTTGGACCAATATGTGAGCACCAATGAAGCAATCTGGAGAAGTTTGGGCTTCCACATACATGATCGACGTCCAGTGGTCCAACGCCTTAAGGTTCACTTTGAAAACGGCCAAAGGGTTATTTTTACAGAAGCAAATGTTCGGGAACGTTCATTCGAACCTCCCAAAATCACGCTAACTGCATTCTTCGAACTATGCCAACAGGACGAGGTTTACAAGAATCCTTCTGTACTGTGAACTCCCAAACTATGTCACATGGAACTCCCAGACCACGAAGTGGAAGGGAAGAGTTCAGGGTACTACTGTTGAAGGCTATCCCCATGTCAAGTCCAGTGATGCGCTCAGCAGGGTGTACACAGTGCATCCAAACAACTTTGAATGCTACTTCCTATGGCTTTGCTGCACACTGAAAAGCCCAACAACCTATAAGAATCTTAAAACCGTTGTCTGCATTATGTCTGCATTATGTTCTGAGAAGCATACCACTCCAGGGGTTTCCCAGAAGACGATGCACACTGGAACCAGACACTAGAAGAAGCAGCAGCGGCATGTTCTACTATCAGACGAAGAAGCAGCAGCGGCATGTTCTACTATCAGACTGAGGGATTTGTTTGCCATCATTACATCCAAGACATCTGTGGAATAACCAAAATAAACCATTTCAGAAGACGTTTTCCATCAGCTACGCAGTGCAAATTCACAAACTGAGTTGGATTACAGTAATACCATCTTCTACCAGGTCCTCATACACTTAGAGGACAAGGGCATTGGGGGAAAGGCATTGCCACACTATGGTCTGCCGTGTACTCACAGAATAGAAGGTGTCACCTTAGCTAGAGAAATTTTGCGGGAAATCAACTATAACCAAGATAAAATGCAACACTTTGTCCAGGAGAGAGAATCAACCATGACAGAAGATCAAGCTGCAGCGTACCTTTATAAAGTTGATCACGATGAAGGAGGCACTATCTTTCTTGATGCAGGAAAAACATATCTCATCAATCTCATCTTGGCTAAGATTTGGTCCAGGGGCCAAATTGCGCTTGGCTGTTGCATGCTATGGTATTGCAGCAACTCTACTTACTGTCGACAGAACTGGCTTCAAGCTGCCACTGAACCTTTCTCATACAGAGGATCCAGTGTGCAATATCAAGAAGGGTACAGCTGTAGCCACATTGATCAAAGACTGTAAAACCATCATGTGGAACGAATGCACCATGTCACAACAACAACAACAAGATTCCATTTATAGAGCGCCTTTCATGTCGGGAGGACGTCCCACAAGCATGCTTTGGAGGCTCTGGACAGGATACTTCAGGACATCAGGGAAAGCACCCAGATGATAGGACATTTATTTTGTCCAGAGACGTCCACCAGACGCTACCTTGTGGAGTCCTGTAGCTCAGTGGTTAGAGCACTCGCTTTGCAAGCGAGAGACCTGGGTTCAATTCCAGGCAGAGGGCGAAACCTTGGGCAAGTTTCCTCACTCCACACACCTAATAATAATCCCTCCAAAACAATAATAAATTGGTCATTTTCAATCCACGACTGTTTGTGGGACATTGCTGTGCGCAATTGGCTGCCGCGTTCGCCCACAAATATACAGTCAATTCACTTACAGTGTGTTCTGTGAAGCGCTTTGGGACGTCCTCCCGACGTGAAAAGCGCTATATCAAATGTGAGGATTATTATTATTATTACTACTCCACATACCTCTGTTTACCGAGCAGTAAGTAGGAACCCAGTTGTTAGTCAATTGGCGGAATGCTTTTCCAGGGATAATAATCCCATTTAAAAAAAGTAATTTGGTCACTCAATCCACGACTGTTTGTGGGACACTGCTGTGCGCAATTGGCTGCCACATTTCGCGCACAAATATACAGTCAATTCACTTTACAGTATATTCTGTGAAGCACTTTGAGACGTCTAGAAGACATGAAAAGCGCTACATAAAATGCAAGGATTATTATTGTTATATTATACAACTTGGTACCCATGCTGATGAACTGAATGACAGATTTAAGGCTTCCAGGCTATGGGCATGTGTGGAGAAAATAAGCCTCAGGACAAACGTGAGAGTCCATCTTCATGGCATTTCCGCAGCTGGGGCATATACCAACCTCCTAGAAATTGGGGGTGGCAAAATTCCGGTGGATCGAACAGATGGCCAAATTCAGATCCCCCAAGGTTGTGGGACCATTGTGCAGATATAGCAGAGCCCAAAAACAAAGTTTTCCCAAACAACAACAACAACAAAATTACATTTATACAGCGCCTTTCACGTCGGGCGAACGTCCCAAAGCGCTGAGTTATGGCTGAACCTCAGCCATAACTACACAAATCATAAGTGGTTGTGTCAACGAGCAATCCTTGCTTCAAAAAATGAGTCTGCCAGCGAGATCAATTCCCAGCTACTCAATGACGTCCCTGGCCAAGAAACTGTGTACAAGTTCGTAGATACTGTTCCTGACATTGAAAATGCTGTCAACTACCTAACTGAGTTTTTAAACTGTTTGGAACCATCTGGTATGCCTCCACACAAACTCATACTAAAGCTTGGATGCATAATCATGCTGCTGAGGAATCTAGATGCACCGAAACTATGCAATGGCACAAGGTTGGTGGTAAAGCAGTTGATGCCACATGTTACAGAAGCAACTATTCTGACTGGTCAGTTAAAGGGGAAGATGTATTCATTCCTCGCATCCCACTGCTCCAAAGTGACTTCCTGTTTGAGTTCAAAAGGCTCCAAATCCCTGTTCAAATGTGGTTTGCCATGTTAATTAACAAGGTAGAGAGGCAGAGCTTAAAGGTTGCTGACCTTTTCTTGAATACACCCTGCTTTTCCCATGGACAGTTTTATGTTGGATGCTCACATGTGGGTTCATCTCAAAACCTGTATACCATGGCTGAAGGAGAAAAAACTGAAAATGTTGTCTGCACCGAAGCCTTGCAATAACTCGAGGACCTGCCGCATCACACAGTAAAGTTCTTTGGTTAACTTAGCTTTGATAAGATCTTCTATTGTTCATGAGTTATGACCCTTTGATAGGATCTTGTATTATTGATGAACTATGACCTAAACAAGCTCATCACACATCTATGGCAGTTTTATGGTGTACGCAGTGTTTATGTCATGTTAAATGATTTGTGAGTGGTATCACTAAAACCTACATTCCATATTGAATCCTTTGGTTGCAACCGTAGCTGCAATGGGTATAGTGAATATACATACATTTACACAATTTGGCTTTAATGCAGTTTTCATTCAAGAACTTTTAAATTTGAACATTTTATGATAACACTTAATTCTTAATTGCTTAATTCTTTGTATGATTGATTATAACACTTTTAATTTAAAAACTTTGATTAATTCTAATATGTTGTGTTTTACAGGTGGTGTTTGAGGCATGAATGTTGGGAATAATGCAGGAGCTCTAAATATGAGCTCAGCTCCAGAAGACCATTGCATTAATGAACAAACATATTTTGGATTTGAAAGAACAATCTGTACTGATCAAAACTTATCAGTTGTGGTGTCAAATACTGCTTCATTTGAAGGCTCACAAAACCTGAGCAATTTGCTCAAAAACAATTCTGATCCCTTCCAGTGGAAACATGTAGAAAGTACCAGGACCTACTCCCGAAATGAGAAGGATGAAGAAGAAGAAGAAGAAGATGATGATGATGTTGTTTTCATTGAGCCTTCCCCTCCTACAACTAGTCCTTCAACAACACTAACAGATCAAAACAGTGCAACACTTGTAGTATTTCAGAAACCAGAATCTGTAGGAAATGAAATTAATACAACATCGCCACCACCTGGAAAGGATTTTATGCCCCCAGTGGAGCCTATTATAATTGATGATGAAGAAGACGCTGCAGAAGGAAACTCTGAGACTACAAAAGGAGCTGGCATCACTATGGCTGTACGTTGTGATGAGAGGAATGGTTTAGCTGAACCATCTGACATGGATTTTTCATCATCTGACTTCCGGAACCAAAAAGATAGTTTCCATTCTATGCAGTACATAAATAACCAGAGTTTATTTCGCACTCCCAATTTGGAAAATAACAATATACATTGGGATCCCAGAACAGGATTAAAGGAAATTGACTTGAATGAATGCCACTCTTTGCAACCAATGCTACTTTCTGATCCTAGGAGAGGTAATATTTTGCCAACGAATGGAGGAGAAGCATTAAATCATGGGATAAGCACAGAGCCGGACTCCGAAATACAGATAACTTGTGTTACCACTTTAGATGCCAGTTCAAAGCCAATGATAGATAATCCACAACCGCAACGGAGTGGGGGGATGGATTTAGATTTAATGATTTGTAATGTAACATCGCTTCAAGATCAGAAATTTGAAGGTATAGATGAAGGAGTTCAAAAACAAGCTTTTCAAATTGGTGTAGGAACTTCTAATTCTGATAAAATGATGGATGGTGCCGGAGATGGATTTCTGAATGGAGAATCTGTGCTTTTGTCATCGCAACCTAAACTTGGTGAGTGAATACTATGCATGCAGAATTGGTTTCGTTTTTTTAATAAATCTGAATATGTGATATGTTAAACTAAATGTTGTCATTAAAATCATAATTATACACAGCTTCATGAAAACCAGTATACAAATATTCAGGTGCCATTTTATATACATATTCTAGCATACCACCACAGGTAAATTGAAGAATTTCCTTTGAATAACAATTACTGTAGTATTAAAGTTTATAAATGAGATAATTGTCTTGTCGGTTACATGAGATATTACTTGTTTCATTTAAAGTTAGAATTCTTTTTAAATTGTTTCGGGTATTTTACTGGCTTTGATTTAAGATCACGACATATGTTTAGAAAACTTTGGATATACAAAGCCAAGATAATTTCAAAATACAGAATGGTTTATTATAATTCATTGCACTGTAATGTCCCTCTTTTATAAACAAAAATTTTGAAATTTTTCCTGAGGTTAAGTAATATTGAGAATAGACATTGAGTGGAAAGCATAATGAACATATACTATCTCTTTAACCTGTTATTTCCTGGTATATATCTTAATTCAATTGAATGGGACTAACTACATTTATGTTACAATACCAAAATCGGATGTAGGAATGGCAAGGTATGGACGGCTATTATGTGTCTGCCTGGCCTAGTGGGTAGCATCTCACCTCTGAGTCAGAAGGTCGTGGGTTTGAATCCCACAACAGGACTTGGAACCTATATTGTCGATGATAATATTCGAATGCTTTCTGTGGGAGCACTGCATTATTGCTACATTTTTGGAGGTGCCGTCCTTCAGATGAGAACAGTAACTAAATCCCCTGCCTGTTCAGGTGGACATTAAAGATCTGGTGTTTGTATTTGGAAAGAGAAGGGAGTTTCTCCTAGTGTTATAGCCAACAACACCCCAATGAAAAAAGTGGTTGTTCACACCATGGCTGTTTGCGGGACATTGCTGTGAGCAAATTGGTTTCCACTTTCATCCACAAAACACATAGTCATGCACTTTACAATGTCAGGTGAAGAGCTTTGGGACATCCACCCAACGTGAAAGATGCTATAGCAAATATAAGGATTATTTATTTACAGCTGTATTGGATTACAAAGTAAATTCTTAATATATGATTCAAATTTCAAAGTTGCTGCTTTACTCTCCACCTCTCAAAGCCGTCAGGAACCTCGGCGTTCTGTTCGACCCTGAGCTGTCCTTTCTCCCTCATATCCGCTCCACAACTGGCACCGCCTTCCATCACCTCCGGAATGTCGTCAGACTACGGCACTACCTCACCCCTCACGCTGCTGAAACTCTGGTCCACGCCTTTATCACCTCAAGGCTGGACTATGGGAACTCTCTCCTCGCCGGCCTTCCCGGCACCTCCCTCCACAAGCTGCAGGTCATTCAGAACTCTGCAGCTCATGTACTGTCCCGCACCAGACTTCGGGACCACATCACTCCCACCCTCGCTCGCCTCCACTGACTCCCCATCCCCCAGAGGATCGATTTCAAGATCTTCATCCTCATCTACAAGGCCATTCACGGCCTCGCTCCCTCCTACCTCTCCGACCTACTATCCCCCTACTACCTGCCCGTACCCTCCGTTCCTCTGGCTCCGGTCTGCTCCACATCCCCCGCCCCAACCACCCTACCATCGGTGGCCGGGCCTTCAGCCTCTCAGCCCCGAGACGCTGGAACTCTATCCCCAGTGCCTTCGCCACCTCCTCCCTTTCCTCCTTCAAGGCCGGTCTCAAGACCTTTCTCTTTGACCGTGCCTTCAGCTCCCCTCTCGACTCTCTACCCCCTCCTCGCTCCCTCCCTTCCCTCCCCTCACCCTGACCATTTCCCCCCTGCTCGGGTCCTGACCCAACTATACAGCGCCTTGGGACGTCCTCCCGACGCGAAAGGCGCTCTATAAATGGAATCTTGTTGTTGTTGTTGTTGTATTCTAATTCGACATTGAAAATCTGCAGAGCACAATTGTTTTATTGTGTCTTTCTCTGCTTTCCTGCAACTACATTGTTTTGTTTCTAAGCACTTTATAAAAATGAAATGGAAGAAAGTAGAAATTTTGAAGAATAAAAATACGTACATTTCTGAACAATTTACATGTCCATAGAATATTTAACTAGTAACTTATTTTTCAAAATCTGTGCTATTTGATGGAATTATCGTTTATATCAACCCACAGCTGTCCTTCCTTCCCCACATATGGTCCCTGACCAGGACCGCCTTCCTCCACCACATTGCCGGGCTCCGACCGTACCCTACTAAAATACTTGTCCATGTGTTTGTCACCTCCTGACTGGACTTCTCAAATGCCCTCTTTGCCGGTCTCCCCAGCTCTACCATGTACAGGATCCAAATGATCCAAAACTCCACCGCCCACATACTCACCGGTACTAAACTCCGTACCCTGATCACACAAGTTCTAGCCAAGCTCTACATGGCTTTCCATCACCGAATGGGTCGATTTCAAGATCCTCACACTCGTTTTCAAATCCCTTCATGCCCTGGCACCTCCCAACCTCTCGGACCGACTCGCCCCACAACCCACATCCCACTGCCTCTACTCGATTGGCTCCGGCCTTCTGCATGTCCCCTGTGCCCTCCGTTCCAGCATTGGTGGCCACGCTTTCATCCACTACGCCCCAAAACTCTGGAACACTCTTCTTCTATCCCCCCGCCTTGCTCCTTCCTTCACTATTTTCAGGTTGCCCCTGAAGACGTTACTATTCGACCATGCCTATGGTCACCTTCCCCTCCTCCCTGGCTCGGAATCGTGCTCCACCACTATCAAGCGCTCTGGGATGCTTCCCTGTGTGAGGTGTGCTATATAAATGCAAATTGCTGTTGTTATAATTTTTCTACTACAAAAGAGGAACAGTATTGGGTGGGGATGGAAATATCTTAAAACACACTTAAAGATAGAGAGAGAAATTTACCAAAACCTCGCGCTTCAAGATCTAGATTAAGCAGTTGATGTTGAGTGAGCTTTGGACTTAGATTTGTGGAGTCGTGTAGCTCAGTGGTTAGAGCATTCACTTTGCAAGCGAGCAACCTGGGTTCAATTCCTGGCAGGGTGAAACCTTGGGCAAGTTTCCTTACTCCACACACCTGATAATAATCCCTCAAAAAAATAGTAATAAATTGGTAATTTCAATCCACGACTGTTTGTGGGACACTGCTGTGCGTAATTGGCTGCCACATTTCGCTCACAAATATACAGTCAATTCACTTTGCAGTCTATTCTGTGAAGCGCTTTGAGACGTCTAGAAGACATGAAAAGCGCTATGTCAAATGTAAGGATTATTATATCAAATGCAAGGATTATTATTATTATCTCCAGAAAGGTGTCTGTCACATCACAAGCTGTCTTGTGAAGGTCCTCCTACTACTTGAGAGCAGAAGTCTGTCAAATAGCTGATGAACAAACTCCAAAGTTTAGGATGCCAGCTGCTGGGAAGTGTTGCTGGTAGCTGGGTTTGTTAACACACACTTGCGTTTCCTTGACATGTATGTAGAGAGATAAACAGCTGTTGCTTACGCTCCATACTTCCAACTGATGAAACCGTCGCTCAGTGGGTAGGAATCTGCATCGAAACTGTGAGCAGGAGAATTGTATCAGTGTTCTCACACATTTCATGCTGACCTGTTCTATTCATCAGGAAACTGACAGGGAATCTCTACTGCCCACTTGGTGAGGTGGGTGCAAAAACATGTGCTTTTCAGATATCAGGTGATCGACAACTATCCTCCTGGTGTACTCACGAGTAGCCCAACACACACTCTGCAGGCCTCAGGCCCTGGCCATCTCCAACCTGTGCTTAATACTCGCTCAAGAATTAAATACGCAGGATGTGTTCCTCCACGAGGAAAGGGAGCATTCCATTCCGGACACAAGGAAATTTTCATGCATAGGTGACATTGAAACTTTGTCTGTCTAGATTTATACCCTTAAGCATGATGATAATGTCTATATGTGTCAAGCATCTTGCTGAGCATCTTTTGGTACCGTTGCCCTTATATAGTGAGAGACTTTATTTTGTAAATAATCTAATTTATCTGCTCTTCAACCAGAAAAGATCTGTTATTTTTTAAAAAAAACTTCTTCCCAGGGCTTGGATTGTTTTTTTTGGTCAGCCAGGTATCTTGACAAATGCAGAAAAGCATCACCATGGTTAAGAATATCCACACCAAACAGAGTTCCATGCATCCCACCAATACATGGAGGGCCCATCCTGCTCTACTTAATTCCATAAGAGTACTAGGCACAGGTTGGACCTGCCTGGCTCAGGAACTAGACTACTATGACCGCCGCAGATTGTTGGCTAAGGGGAAACCCACGAATATTGCATTCATCAACTTTTGCAAGGGCTTTTGAACCCAATACCTTATGCAGCCCTCATGATGAAACTGAAAGTCTTTGGAATACATGGCCAAAATTTTGGATTTTATCCGGAATTGTATCCAGCTCCAAGATCCATGTGAGGGTCGACAGTGGACTCACTGAGCCCATCCATTTTGAAAGGGGGTAAGGCATGGCTGCACTCATTCACCCACCCTAATCAATGTATTCACCAATGATGTGTTGGATGGCATCGATTGGAATCCTGTCAGAAAGGCCTGAAACAGATGCACCAAGTCTGCTTCTGTTTGCGTACAATTTTGGATGATAATTGTGCCAGTGAAATACAGTACTATTTGAACAGTTCCATGTTGATTTACAAATTTTTTGAACTATATTTTTCAGGAGGAATTTTGCTGGTCTCTTTCGATTTAAATCAATCTTGTAGTGCATTCCTACTTTATTTTGACGGCCAAAGTATGTTATCAGAATAATAAACATTTTAAGCAAATTGTAAAATGTAATCCATTTTACGATGTTGAAAGCTTTGTTGTATTAAACAAAAAATGAATGATTAGTATTTATCATTAGCAATTTATAATTCATTATTTTTGATACAGTTGGGAGACTTTTTCTGCCCACTAATTAGGACTGGCTTCATAGTTAATATGAAAACAGGATGGAAAATGGATCATCACACCAATTACAACTTGGCTTCAACAATAACAACAAAGGTTTACTGTCACTATATTATCCAAATGTGTCAGCTCTTCTCTTTTTTTCTCTCTCTGCTATTTTGAGAGTAGTTGCTGGCTTTCCCTGTGTGGGGGGGACAGCACACAGGAAATGACATTTGATGCTTGCACACATGTTCATAAACTAATTACGTCAATAGTGTAAATTTTTGCAGTCGTGTCAGTGGTGACTTTTTTAACAAAAAAAAACTATTTGGCCATGTGGTTGATGCTTTACCTGGCTGTCTGGCTCTAATTTGGAGGGTTTTACACCGCTTCATTACAGCATTGGTTTCCAGGAACTGAAATGGAAAAATCCCTCTCCTTGGTCTGCACATCTTAAGTCAACTGAAATGCATGAGAGCATTCCCACCATCCTGCCTGAGGCCTGGACACACTACTAATCGAAGAGTGGTTCCACTAGATAGGGGGGTAAATTAAGTCATGTTTTGGGAATGTGTTCAAGGCTGTAAAGGTTCATACACTTTGGTTTAATTGAGCCTGTGACATTGACCAGTCTCTGAACTTCGTGCAATTCTATATTATATTCAGAGCCACCATTTTATTCTCCTTTATGAAATTAATGACTATCTTTTGGTTAAGTGGATCTGAAATGTTTTTACTTTATTCATTTTTAGCTTCCCACTTTGGAATTTTTAAAAATGTAAATTTGAATATCTGTTTCTCTTGGACAAATATACCAATGAAATACTCCAAACCCACTTAGGTTTTTAATTTGTTTGCAACATTTTTCTATTTGTCTTTCAAAATTGTTCCATAATATTCTTGCACTTTTTTTCTGACCAGTTTTCTTTCTTTTCCTATTTAATTTCAATGTATTTCAAAATTTGTTTTTGAAATACTCTTGCTTTGAAAATAGATCCTATCACAGCCATTCAGTAAGATCTAACCTACCACAATATGCTACAGCTATATTCAGACCTCAGTCATTCAGTGAATTCTGAGGTTTCTGAACATATTTGTTAGATAAGGCTAAAAAATCTCATTGTTTTTTCATAAACACTGCCAAGTTATTTCTCACTGTTTTCCTTCCTCTTCAGGCCATACTCCAAATGAAGGTGGCTGGGTGAGCAAGTTAATCCCAAGCCTATTCCAATGTCATTCTGAGCCAGCCACTAGGAGATGAATACAAGCAGTCCAGGGTAACTTACTCCAATTTTACCTCACTCTGTGGTGAAGCACTTGGCCTCCACTTGGTGCCTGCTCGCAGCAACTTGGCTGAGATTGGAAATTCAGTGGTGTATAGTGTAAACATCTCATGATTCAGTGGCAGTGCACTGTGGTGCTTAGGAACATTGGAAAACAGGAATATCCCATCAGGCTTCATGGTGTAATGATCTAACCTGTGGATGCAAATGGATGCAAGGCATTCAGTGCTTGTGTTTTGATATTAGGTCCTCTGAAATATTGTCGGTAGCCATGGGAAGTCCCTGTTTATTGAAGTCTTATATGCTATGTTTGGTGTTATTGGCATTCTTCCTCTCAACTCTATAAAATATTTTATGTTGATTTTCTATCATAGTCTCCCAGTACAAGACATTATTTGCAGTTTAAAGCTAGCCACAATTTGATTTTTTTCGTGATTTGCTGCTCATTGAAGTTGATATTCTATACATTGGTATTCCTCAGGTACTATGCACAACATTTTACCCAAGACTACTACTGCCACCACCACCACACAAACTCAAGACATGGCTGAAGACGCTGAACGAAAAAGAAGCAATGTCAAGGTATTTCTCATTTAAGTTTACCCTTATGGATTTTAGCAGTGCATACAAAATTCTGAGAATACTATAGTTTTTTTTAAAAATAGAACTAATTTACTCTTGCAACCTCTGAGTCATAACTACTTAAAATTCCTTCACCAGGCTTTGGAAGCTTATTTCTTCACAATTGGCTACTTTTTTGAAAATACGCATGCTCCAAACCATCCACATCAGTCATTTGCCACATCTATTTTTGGTAACGTCACTTCTGTCATTTAAATTTTTTTTCAAATTTCATTTTCTAATTTTTATTTTCCTTTTGTTTCTTCTTGAGGACAGACATGCTAAATTAAACTCTGCCATTGTATTTCTACTATTCAACTATAAACATTCAGTAGTTAAGCACACTATATCTTAGTCAACCCAATCTTTTCATGAACCGTAAGGGAATGTTATGTGTAGAAACCTCTGAATAGGAGTGTAGCAATAAAATATACAATTGTCCTTTTTTTAAAAAAAAGTATTTTGCTTCTAAATCGTTTGTCATGGAGTAGCAGGCTCATAAATTTACATATAGTGCTTAATTAGATATTAACTTCACCTAAGTCTCATTCTCTTCTTATCTCTTGGTATCAGGCACTGAGTTTTTTTTTCAAAGAAAAATGTCAGTGGTACTTCCATCTATGTTATGGTTACTAACTTAAATAGAAATTTCACTTGAGGGTGGAAAAAAACACGATTATGTTATTCCAATGAGCCCTGAACTTTTTCGGTGATGTTATCATAGAACCAGAGAACTTTATGGGAAATTCAGCCAATCATGTCTGTGCTCAAATCACTTGACACCATTGGCTGGGTACTCGAGTAGAAGTGGAAGCTGAAGGGGGTGGGCAGGGGAAAGAAGACCGAAAGCGCAATTGAAGAGGTGCTTTCTGAGGAGGACCTTAAATGAGAGGAGGGAGGGAGTTGGAGGGGCTCCAGGTTGGAGTTCCATAGAGGAGGGGAAGAATGGCTGAAAGTCAGATAAGTTGAAGGAAGTCACAGGATTCTGATAGGGTGAGACCATGGAGGGATTTGAAGGCGAGAACGAGGATCTTGAACTCGATCTGATGGGGGATGGGGAGCCAGTGGAGCCAAGCAAAGATAGGGATTGACATAGTTTGTCTGAAAGCAAATAATGAATTAAAATAAAATAATTGATGAAAATAAGTGTAATTACCTCCGTTGAGGGATCACTAGAAGGTAACTGAAAGTAATACACTTATTATTCAAGTTCCAAATTTTCAAACTCTATGTAACCTTCAATAAATATATTATTAGATCTAACATGCAAATGGCTGATGTGTAGCAAATTATTTCTGTTGTCTTTTAACAGGTAAACAATGGAACCTGTGAAGATACATTGAATGACATCAAAATCAATGAGGTGTATGGATCTTCCAGTCATCCTGTAAATGGTGATTAAAACTGACATTTTTTATTAGTTAGTATGTCGTAGGTGATATGCTACACTGATCACTTTTGTGTTTTGAGAAAGGCTAATTTCATGTATTATCTTAAACCAGGGAGCGCAATTTGCTATCCACAAACTTTACAACCAATATATTCTATACTTCCTGAATACAAAAAGTATTCTTTATAATGGTTATGATAGAAACATTATTCTTAGATTGTGCATTTTACTTGGAGAATACTAAGTAACATCTCTGTAATTTGAACAGAATGAAGTAGACTGGTCAGAGAAATTAAAATCACAATAGAGGTTTGGATGAAGCAGGCTCTTTGGCCAATCTGCTCCCTTCCTCTGGAATATAACAATTCCTTCAAAAAAATAATAATTTGGTCACTCAATCCACAACTGTTTGTGGGACACTGCTATGCCTAATTGGCTGTTGCATTTTGCCCAATAAAATACAGTCAATTCACTTTACAGTATATTCTGTGAAGAACTTTGAGACGTCTCAAAGACGTGGTAAGATGCTATATCAAATGCAAGGATTATTATAATGTAACCCTCTGCAATCTTCCCATGGCATGGCATCAAGCTATTTCTTATTATTTCTGGTTTCATAAACTCTTTTTGTAGCTTGTTCCAGCTTTTGATTATCCTCTGCGCAATGTAATATTTCCTGATTTCTAGCCTAAACTTGCTTTCATAACCTTAAACTTGCAACTTGTAGTTAGAGGTAACTGAAAGTAATACATTAAGAAGCTTTGATATTAATAAAGACCTGGCTTTAAATAAACTATATGGGAGCGTTGTAAGTTAATTTAAGGATTGTCAGAGTTCGAGGGATATTATTGAGACACAATTTCGTTGAAAGGAGTAGATACTACCAAATGATCTTAAAGGTTTTCAAGAACATTACTTTATATTTTACTTTTGTAATCCAGATCCAAAAGTAAAATTAATTTCACGAACATTGATGATAAACCACTGAAATTATATTTGTTACATTTGTTAAATTTGTTTTTTTCTTCAGTGTGGAAAGTACAATTAGTAATTCTTGAATAGTGACATTTGAAATGTGAATTAGCTCTAACTAATGCCAAATCTGCATATTTATTTCAAGATTCATGGCTATCACAGTCATCATCATTCCCTATGAATCGCAAGCTGAACGCTTCGGATTCCGTTGTGTCTATGGCGCCTCTTTCAAAGCCAGCCTTCCAATCTTCGGGACAGCAACAGCAAGCTAAGCCATCTGTGAAAGTCATCTGTGCTCACTGCAAAAAGCCATTGCAGAAAGGTCAAACAGCTTACCAGAGAAAAGGCTCATCTTACCTCTTCTGCTCTACTACCTGCCTTTCATCGTTTTCTCATAAACCAGCCCCAAAGAAGTTGTGCACTACATGCAAAAAGTAAGAAACAATTTTGTCCCACCAATCATCCTATGCGTGGTTAGTATTTAAAACCAATGGGACAAGACACATTACACACCTATCATGTTCTTGGTGGGTGTGAATGACTGGTGTGAATCTGAGCAAACTGTTTCTTGTGTGAACTAGTTTTGGTGATGTCTTTTTGGTTACTTTTCTTAGTAACATGCCTTTTTGGTTTTGCAAGTGCTGATGCACAGTAGCCAATGTGTGATAGATCACTATGACAGCATGAAAAATACCTTCATGGGAACATTAAGCATTCACTTCAAATGCAGTAATAGGCTGACATTAAAAATGTTTGGATATATTTTACCTAATTTTTGTAAGCGTCTCTGCAATTGCAGAAATTATTCTTATTTATAACTTTTGATGCTAATCAGTCAGGAAGAATGGAGCTCAGATCTGTTAAGCATATATCATTCATAGACATTTCAGAATTGACATTTCACTAACTTCAAACATAAAACAGGACAGTGATTTTCAGAATATAGTATTCCAGTGTGCAGGAGTGTTCACTATTACCGGGCTGCGGTGGATGTTTTTCATAAGTTATTCCATTTTAGAGGGGTTCTCTAAATGTAATAAAAACAAGTCGCTGGGAAACTCAGCAGGTGAGGCAGCATCTATGGAGAGAGGAAAGTGGGTTAAAGTTTCAGGTCGATGACCTTTTTTCAGAACTGAGGGATATTAGAAGCAAGCAGTTTATAAGGACAGAGAAGGGGGTCGGGTAAGAAGGGAAAAGGAAAAGATTAGGTGGAAGATAGGAGATGATCAGATCACAGAGCTGTTGATGGTGCAAGATGAAAGAAGCCAATAGTGGGAGATTAGAAAAAGAAAAGCTGTGTCTGAGATCCACAGGATATGCGAATAGTTATTGAAGACTGGGTGGCAAGGTTGAGAGAAGATGGGAACTATGGTTAAGATCTGCAGTGGTTAAAATCAATGTTGAGGCCAGAGGCCTTTCAGGTACCCAAGAGGTAGATGGGGTGCTGGTCCTCAATCTTGCTTTGTGCTTCGTTGGAACAGCATGTAAATGTAATCTCTGTAGTTGAGATAAATTTTGAAAATCAGATGTTTGGTCAATGGATTTTCCGGGTGCTTATTTTCTTTTGTTATGCTGTGCTTAGCTTAGTCATACTGCAGGTCTTGTTGGCTTTGCTGGTCCAGAACTCGAGAAAAAGGATTGGCATCAATTTACTTTTCTTTACAGAAATGGGACCTATTATTTGAGACAATGAATTCTCAATTTGCTCAAGGGAAACCTGTGAGGTTCTTTAGCTGAAAATGTGGTAATGCAACCTCTTGACAGTACAAATCTTTGTGCAGGAGAGAACAGCGGTTCTTTGTAGCATTAAAGTTTTATACCTAACAGTTTTAAAACATAATGGTTTATTAAGTAACAAATTATTGATGCGACGTACTAACAGATGGATCATCTTACTTCACAGAGAAATAACTAATATGAAGGGAACAATTGTTGCGCAAGTTGATTCGAGTGAAACATTCCAAGAATTTTGCAGCACAACCTGCTTATCTTTGTACGAAGAGAAACAGAAGGTTCCAACACATGCAAGCCATGGGACCCAAGGAAACCATGGAAAATGTACTATTTGTGGCAAAATGACTGAGGTACATTTTATTTCCAGGTTAATTGCATTGAATTTTCATGCAACACCTTTTTTGTTTCGTTCATCAACTACCATTACATGTCTAGACATCTTGGAGTAGTGCAGATAAGTAGTTGATGAAAAAAGAACTGTCTAGAAACATACAGAGTGAATAATTATGATCAAAACTATTCTTTTATTGAAAAGCAGTATATGTGGCTAAACAAAAAAAAATCAGTAATTTCTGAAAGGTCATATCAGGATGTGGTGCTATTGACCAATATCGTGAACTTAAAACAATATGTGTTCTCTGTGGCCCAATTAGATATTTATCATAGTTTATTTATAAAATGTTCAGATGATTTATACTTGTGACAACCCAAATAATGTCAAAGCATTTTTCTATTTTTTTTGTAGATTCGACATGAAGTGAGCTTTAAAAATGTTGTGCATAGGCTTTGCAGTGATGTTTGTTTCAATAAGTACAGACAAACCAATGGACTTGTAATGAACTGCTGCGACCAGTGTGGGTCATATTGTTATAATAAAGGATCATCAAACCACTTCCTTTTCCATGAAGGTCATCACAAAAGATTCTGTAGTTCACAGTGCCTCAATGAGTTTAAACAGGTACCGTTCTACACTTTTATGCCTTCAATGATAATGTTTGCATAACGACACATTCTTGTAAAAATGTACTGGAAGAATTCAAAGCTGATTCAATTCACCCATTCCTCATTTCTGAATCTGGGCAGTGATAAATCTCTCATCTTTAAAAACAGAGTATTCCTGCAATAATAAGTCATATTTACAATGATGGAATGTTATGGGACATTTCATCAGATTAAAATTGTTATTAAGTTTATAAATATGCTGTGCCATAGCATAATAGGTCATAGCTTTGTGGAAATGAGTCCCTAATCTAGATCATGCTATCGAGTGAAATGCTAGACTTGGATATACAATCACACTTCTATCCATTCCTTTCTCCAGAAGGGAAGGAAACGTATCACCTCCTCAGACTTCTCACCAACCAACTTAAGAGCTCTTTTCCCTGCTCTTAAATACAGTTCCAACCTTTTAATAGGTGCCTGGAACGCCCAATATATCACTCTGGTTCATTCCTGAGTCTATTCAACTAATATCCCCACATGTGGACTTTCCAGCATAGTCATTGGACAGTAGTCAACAGCAACAATTTTTTTTTCTTTTCCTATCTTGGGAGCGTGAGATCAAATCCAGCATCAATAAAAGCTGATCTGGCTGATGTCTGCCAACTGAGCAGAGTTCAAGTCTTGGGACCGTACTTCTCTGTTGGCTCAAATAGAGGTGCATTGAAGCACTAAGCCAGAGAAATTATGCACTTAATATATTTATTTAGTTTTTTTTCTGATGAACACCTTAGAAGGAAAATCTTGAATTGTCTATTTTGCATTGGATCAATTCAGTGCCAAGTATGTTAATTCATTCTGACTGTCCACTTGATTTTCTGATATTGGTCTTCACAACCTTCGTTGTTAACCACTAGGTAACATTGGCAGTAAGTACTAGAGATGGTGTCATTACTATATCAAAAAAATAAGTTGATAGATTTTGAAGCTTTTAATGTTACCACACACACTAAAAACTTTTATCTTAATTTTAGAAAAACAGCAAAATAATTCCTTGTACAGCATGCAAAACTCCATGTAGAAGCTTTGACATGACGCAGAGTGTAGGACCTGGTGGCAGTATTGATGCATACTGTTCAGTTGCATGCATGTCCGTACACAAATCAAGAAGCCCAAAGCCAACAGGTAAAACTGTCACCTTCTGTGAGGTCTTCATATAATGTGTTAGATAAAGTTTTAGATTGTTTATTAATGTGTGGTTTATGTTTTTTTTAGGTTGAATAAAATAATTTGCATTACGTAAACTTTTATTCAGCCGAAGTATGATTGCCAGAGATAGAAGATGTTTCAATGAAAGTTTAATGTTATTTTAATTAAGTTTCTTTTAATCATATTTTGTTGGTTAAAACTAATAGCTGGAAATGTAATTTTCCTGTATTGTGTTTGTAAAATGTAGGAAAAAATAACACCACTTAGATTATCAAAATAAATATTCATATACACTGCTGCTGCAATCCAAATGTTGCAGAGAGATTTACACGTACTCATTTCATTCTCATTCCCATGTTTGAAATGTTAACATGGGAATGAGAACTTGAGATTGAGAAAAATCCCTTCGCCTTGCCCCCTCTTTCCCCATCTTCAGGTAGTGCCTGAAGACCTTCCTCTTCGATCGTGTCTACGGTCACCTTCGTCTGACTCGGCGCCATGCTCCACCACTGTCAAGCCCTCTGGGATACTACCCTGCGTGAGGGGTGCTATATAAATGCAAGTTGTTGTGAGTGAAGGTGGTAGAACCTTAGTGTAGAACATTTCCTCATGGTGGTGACGTGGAATTTTCTCTCGATGTTCATAAAAGGAGATCTTGATGTTCACAAAGGTCAACACTTAATAACATTAGTTTGCCATTCAAAGAAGGGCAGCACGAAATGAGAGAGAACCTTGGTGATGGTCAATGTAAAGCTGTCAGTGGAGGGCATATATTCTATTTTCAAATTAGTTACACATCTCTTATTGTTTATTGCCTGTATTTCCTATGTAATACATTTTATTGCACGTGATGCAAGTAGGCTTTCCACACAACCTAGGCAACGTTTCTGGTAGCTGAAGAAAAGTCACACGTGTGAAATTATAACGATAATATAAGAGTTTAACAGCTATGGTGGGCGGTGGAGAATGAGGAGCCATATAGTGGGAAAATGTATGGTCTAGTTTATGGCTGTTTCACTAAGCAGCACGAGCTGGTTGCCAAATTTCACTATGGTTGTGATAGAACTAGCCGTTTGATTCAGTGCTGTCTTCCATAGTGAGAGTTTGTGTAGCCTCATTTCCTCTAATAGACATCATTAAGATTACAAGCCCCCATTCCTCTCTTTCCTGAACACAATCATATAGGTTTCAAAACCCATATGATTGTGTTCAACCTGTGCCTAACACTTTCGAGAATTAGATAGGCAGAATGCATCCCCCCAGGGAGAGAGTGCATTCCATTCCAACAATCTATCTCTGGGATTTCCATGTGTAGGTGGGATGCATGGAAATAGTAAAAACTGTCAGTGGATGGCATATATCACATTGCCTTTTAAAGTATCACCAAAATTAGTTTTTTTCTTTTAGGCATTGGATACTCTTAAGCATGAAAATGGGTTTCACACCCAGCTGACCAAAAAAAACTTTGATTGTAGGGACACTTCTACTAAAGATAGAGTTTCTGTTTTTATTTCTCCTTCCAAGAGGTTCAATCAATGCAGTGCTAATGGAGTGCCTCATTTTCTTAGGTGCTGTCCTTCAGATGAGACATTAAATCGAGGCCCTGTTTGCCTCTTCAAGGGCGCTCTTGAGATGCAAGTTGTTGTGTTGATATGACATTATGGTCATATGACACGATTGGAAAGAGAAGGAGTTTCTTTGGGGATCCTGGCTAACAATCCTACTCATTCGCTTCATAGTTGTTACTGATACATTGCTGTATGCGCATCGGCTGGCATATTCGCATAGAAATAGTCATTACATTTGACAGCAATTACCTGTGAGATCCTTTAAGCCATTTCAAAGTAACATGTATACGTTGTATCAAATGCAAAGATCCTTATAGCCTGGAGCCATCCAGCTGTTCGATTCCAGAATGTCCTTGTTTTCATTATTTTCAGCGACCCAGTCTTGCATACTGGTGTACCTGAAATTTCAGGGATTTTATGCATGAAATGTGGACTCAGATTAAAGAACAGCCACAAACCCTGTGAGCGTGTGTTTTGGAAGCCACCCGAGTCTTGTGATTGTGTTAGTCAATCCAGAACTGGTCATGCTCTGTGTAAATTTCAAGATTGAGGTGGCATATGTCTTATTGGTTTGTCCCAAATTTGATCAGTTGAAATTGTTCACAGCATCACATGATGGATATCCATCACCTTGAAGTTTTCTGGTTGGCTCGTATTGTTGCTTATAATTTTATAATACATTACTATAGTAAAAACTGTCAGTGGAGGACATACATCACATTGCCTCTTAAAGTATCACCAACATTTGTTTTTCTTTTAGGCATGGGATCTTGCCACTTTTGTAAAAGAAGTGCTTTACCTCAGTATCAAGCCACAATGCCTGATGGAAAACAATACAACTTCTGCAGTTCTAGTTGTGTGGCAAAATTTCAGGTTTATATGTTTTCTTCCTTTTTGTTAGTAAAACCTATCTTCTTATGATTGTTGTCCATTTGTTTCATTTGTGCCTATGAAAAATGACTTTTCGAATAAATACAGTTACAAAACATGCCATCTAGAAGCGGGCATAGAGCATATATTCTACTTGAAATTAATAACATTTGTTAGCATTGCACCTGAGAGTTTAGGAGCACAGGTATCGGATCACACATCACCAGCATACTTGTTTCAGTACTTTACTGAATGTATAGCTTAAAGCATAATTATAAGAGCTCTCCCAATTGTTCAGTTGATAAAGCCACTGTCTAGATTCCAAGTGTGATCCCCATACTGTACTGATTTAGCTGATATCAGCCACTACAACATAATGGCCACAAGATTAGGTCTCTCTGTAATGGGCTAAGGAGGCAAAAATCAGGCAGACTTCATGCTCCTGATAGCAATCCAGTGACCCATTGCTGAAATGTGTGCAAATATGTTGCAGGCTGATCAAGTATACGATCAATCTTTTTTTGACCAACAAGATAAAATACCCCATCAATGCTTATTGACTTGACTTGAATGGTCGTTTGGGTAAAGTACTGAAGAGCATTTAGTAAAACTGCCCCAGCATGAATCAGTCCCTTTCAGGATAGGTCGGAACAAAAAATAAGACCGACGAAAGCAATACTTTGATTGCAGTGAATAAATTATCAGCTTTTTCCCAGTGTGTACTGAAGAAATTGAAGTACAACACCGTTGTGTTTTCATCAGCTAACAAATGGATTTGTTAATGTCTAACAACTAAACAAAGCGATTACATTTTAAACAAAGGTCTTCACACACATGTATCCTGCAGAAGGAAGTGACGGCAGCAACCTGTTAACCTGAAAGTTCACCACATTTAATCATGTGAGGCAAAGAGTTGGCATTTGAAAGCCAGCCAACCAGTTCTGTTTGCATTTTGGATATTTTCACAACGTAAATACCGTTTCTGCTATAAACTAATTGTGTTATAACAGGATTCCACTTATCAAATTATTATGCATCCTTCCTTCTGGCCCTTGAAGAAAAATTGTCGGAGATAGATGCAAATGCAGATATATTAAATTGTGATCATCTTTTAGTCTTACAGTGTACAAACAACTACAAATGGGGAGGACGTGACAAATGATGTGCAACTCAAGTGTACTTACTGCAAGATTGGATTCAGTGCAAAACCAGAGGTGCTGGAGTGGGAGGTAAGAAAAAGATGGGCACACTTTAGTGTAGTAGTGTGTAATTCGAGTTTTTCATATAAAATGCAAATAGTCCCTGAGTGGTGCGTTGTTTAGCACACTGACATCTCACTTAAAATTCAACTCTAAAGTGAAAGGGATGAAAGCTGTAAGGGCCACTTGTGAAGTAAGTTTCGAAGGCCCAGTAGACATATGTTAGTCCAGTTTCCATTGGGCATGTATCCAAAGCGTAAGAAGACTGCCTGTAATTCAACACAAATGAGATCTAAAATTGCCAATCTCATTCATAGAGATGGCAAGAATGTTGCTGTGAGAAACATAAATTTTCATACTGGAGTTCTTATTTTGCGGTTGGGACTAGGAACCCACATTGGACAGAGTACAAAAAAAACAACTTGCATTTATATATTGCCCTTCACGTGGTGTAGTATTTCGGAGCAAGTATAGGAGAATTTGCTCTGCATTCATTTGCACTTAATGCTGGCACTGGATACTAAATGTGATTTTGTTCCAATCCTTAATATTCTCCTTGGTCTGTTGAGCACAAAAATACAAATAAAAACCCTCAAAGCCATTTTACACTACTATAACCACAGAGCCCCAGATATTTAAATGGAAAAGAAAATATATTTTTAACCGAAAAGAGTTCCTAGCTAGTATTGAGTTTTCCCAGGATTTTATGGATTTGGATTGGAGCTTAGATCAGTCAAAAACACCCACCCACTTTAACTCCATGACACCAATCCAGCTTCTCCATGTAATTACATCAGAGAGGCTGCTCCATGAGGAGGTGAATTCTGGGACATGTCTTTAAGATTGAAATTATTCAGGTGAAGAATTATTTACCAAAGTACTCCCACTAAAGTACATGTTGTGTGAAATAACTTGAATTGTTGTGTATTATACCACACAAGTATCATTTTATAATATTCCTTTTCAGAATAAAGTCTTTCAGTTTTGCTGCAAAATGTGCTGTGACGACTATAAGAAACTGCACTGCATTGTGTCTTTCTGTGAATATTGTCAGGAAGAGAAAACTGTATATGAAACTGTGAGGTTCTCAGGAGTTAAGAAACCTTTCTGTAGTGAAGGTAAGTTTTATCATGCTGATTGCTGTAGGCCAACCCTTTGGATTGGACTGTACTTCATGAAAGCAACAGTAATCATGTCTAACCTAAAAATAATAGATGATTAAAAACTTTATCCTTTCTGGAATCTCAGTTATGTTTTATTTTTAATGCCCAGACTCTTTATGTAGATGTGTAGATATCTGAACAAAACATAATATTTAGCTTATGTAAACTACATAAACAAAAACATTACTTGCTAATTCAACTAAAGCACTTTGTATCCTCAAGTCTTTACCTAATGTTGAAATAAGTGATGTAAAATGTTCCTGATTTTGAATGCTACCTAAAAAATATTATGCTTGATTAGAATTTTCAAAGTTGTGTATTGGTTAGAATATAATTCCAAAACTAAAATATAACTGTAGGATATGAAATGGTTTTCACAGTTGTCTGCTAATTATGTACACCCATGATATGGCTTGTTTTCCCTCACAGAGTGTACTGGATGGCCTCTGTTCAATCCTCACTAATGAATGCAAGTACCAATAACTGGGTGTAACTTGACTAATGAGTTCTTCCACAATGACAGATACTATCAATTGCTATTTAAATTAATGCAAATTGGGAAACTTCAGTCAATCACGTGTTTATTTTACACCTCAGTGACCTAGGCTGAACCTGTTTCGTGTATTCCCTCCTTTGATTTTTACAGAAAGCTTGTGTTAAGCACGGTTAAGTTAACTCAACGGAATTTTATTGTAGCTTCAATGAAATCCACAACCTTCAGCAATAATCTTAAACATCATGATAAATATCAACAAACACAACTATGCGATAGCAAACATTCATCACACTTAAACTGCACGCACTAGCAGCCACTTTAATGAAGTTAATGTAAAGTGCATAAGGAACCAACCCCCGACTAATACTCATCAATAGTCTGAGCATGTACATTTGTTGTCATCAGGGAGAAAAATAGCGAGCACCAGCACATGGAGCTCGTTCTTTTATGGTCATTGAGTCCCTCCCCGAATTAGGATACCCAATGGTAATTGTATAGCACCAATTACTTGATATAATTGGTGCCTTTCTTAAGGTCCAAGTGATCCAATACACAACTTCGTATCCACTCATGCAAATTATAGATAGTCAGCTACAATCAACGCTAGAGTCAAGAGTTGATGGCACCATAAGTATCAAAAATGTTGAATGCACAAAAAAGTATTTAAAGTGCTACTCAATGTATTTAAATAACAGGCAGGAATAGAAAGCAAGGGGTGACCATGACATAATACATTAAGAGAACAACAGGCAGTAAAATGGATAAGTATCTACAATTGTAGTGGATGTTGTTACGTTCCAGGGCTGTACGGCCCACAGGTCAATTTCATCCGGTCCCCTCCATTTCATCTGTCCCACCTGCTCCCTCTTATAACCTGTAAATGTTATGTTTCTGGAAGGGAAATGCAAAAATATTACTTAGGCAGCATGCAGACATTTTTGAAATAGGGAATCCAGCCCTCAGCAGCCAAAATGTTAGCCCACCCAAGGTTTAGACCACGATGGTCCAACTTTTGGCTGCCCCATGCCAGATTCCCTATTCAAGAAAGATCCGTGGGCCACATAAGCAATATTTTGTGTTTTCCTTCCAGAAATAAACCCACATTTACACAGCTCCGTTTTCATGTTGGCAGGACATCTTGACACTGTTGGCTGGGCACCTGAGTTGGGGATGGGAGCCGAGGGAGGTGGAATGCGGAAGGGAAACGATGACCCAAAGTGTGGTCAAAGAGTTAGGTCGTGACATGCCTTGAAAGAGTAGAAGAGGGAGTTGGAGGGACTCCAGGAATGGAACTCCAGTGAGCAGGGGCAAAATGCCAATTTTGGGGTCAGATAAGGTGCAGGGACATGAAGCGAGTGGGGTTTGCTTCTCAAAGGGAACTGCCAGATCGGGAGGTCGCAGAGACGAAATGAAGGACGTAGAGTTTTTCACTGGGGAAAAAAGGAGCTTTCTGTGAGGAAACTGCACAGCACGTCACTCTGTGTCCGTCCTCGGTTCCCCCCCCCCCGCCAAGGGAGGTTCTGATCATCTGTCCTGATAGCGAACCACAAGACAATGCCGTCAATTCTCCTTTATCTCTCCACTCTCTTTTTGTTTCCCTCTCTCCCTCCCTCATGTCACGCTCTCCCCAATCACTCTCTCTACCACCCCCTCTCTTGTGCACTCTCTTGCACATACTTTGTCTCCTCATTCATTCATTCTCTCTCTCTCACTCCGCTTCTCACACCCTCTCACACTCTCCCTTCCCTCTCACATTCCACCTCTCGCCTCTCAATCATTCTCCCCTCTCTCTTTCTCTCACACTCTCCCTTTCCCAATTACTTTCTCTCACTCCCTCTCTCTCTCTCTCACACACACACACACACACACACACACTATCCCCTCCCTTTCTTTCACCTCTCTCACACATATACTTTCTACCCCCTCTCTCTCCCCCCGCATTATCATATAGCTATTTTGCTCTTGGTATACACTAGAGCCAATCTGCAATGTCGAGTTGTTTCTCATCTGCCTGAACACATCTTAATCCCAACCTCAAAATAGCATCCTCCTGCACCCGTACTACATTTCAATATGCTACATCATTAATTCCTGTGGCTTCTCTGGATATTTTACTTATTTACTGGCAGCCTTGAGTTGTAACCCCCCATCCATAAGCAGAGGGTTAAACATGACAAAATATATTTCACATAATTTCCTTCCAGTCAACAGATGAAGGAAATTGTCATGAATTCAGCATGAGCAAGGTTTTAGCCCAGATCCTAGAGGTTGAAAGGGCTGTGTGCTAACCAATTGCACTGTCCAGTCCCCATAAAATAAATTCTGGTCTATTCACTGGTCCATAGTATGTTGATGGTAGCGAGTCCTGATTGATCGTTGTTCTAAGTGAAGAATTTAACCTGTAAATTATACTTGAACAGTTAGTGAATATGTTTTTTTTCTTAAATTCTGCCTTATATACATCATAATTAACTTATTACAGTTTTTTTTAAATCCAGTCCTTAAATTAAATTGAATAAACTTTCTGTTCCACATATCCAATTGGTATTCCTTATGTCAAAGGGTGTTAGTTGACTGCTAACCATGTTGCACATGGGTGATGCACACAAAAGGTTTCAATGAAGAAGAGACATTTTAGATTGGTGAGTGTATTTGTGTGTCTGACAAAAACATTTTAATTTACAACTTATCAGCTGTACTTTCAGGAATGTGCACTCAGTGGAGGGTAATATATTCTCTATTAAAATAATAAATAATAATCCTTGCATTTGATATAGTGCTTTTCACGTCGAGAGGACGTCCCAAAGCGCTTCACAGAACACACTGTAAAGTGAATTGACTATATTTGTGGGCAAACGCGGCAGCCAATTGTGCACAGCAATGTCCCACAAACAGTCGTAGATTGAAACTGACCAATTTATTATTGGTTCTTTTTTGGAGGGATTATTATTAGGCTCTGTGTGGAGTAAGGAAACTTGCCAAGGTTTCGCCCTGCCTGGAATTGAACTCAGGTCTCTCGCTTGCAAAGCAAGTGCTCTAACCACTGAGCTACAGGACTCCACAATTTAGAGGATAAATTAGAGGAGACAGACTATCCCAAACAATTCCTTAGATTATTGAGCAGTGGGGAGCAATTCATATGATTGGGAGCAGGGAACGATTTTACAATGTGCCATTTATTTTATTCTCATCTAGAGCAGGGATGGCCAACTTGCAGCTCACAGGTCACAAGTTGGCCATCCCTGGAATGGGATTTTTCCACTTTACATCGTATATCCACATCAACTGATCTTCTAGATTAGCTCTAACAGGAGATACACAGAAGGAAATCGTACTCCCTGTACACTGTCTTCAGCCTGCATTAATGTGTAGATTACTGCTGAATTTGGTGCTGAACTAGGATCAGTTGTTACCCTAGTCCAATAGGAACTGTGATTGAGACGACCCAAACTCATTACAAATAGGACCTTTCAGTTCTTTAGCCTAGGTTTCTTTTTGGGGTCCGAAAGGTTGAAAGACTAATTGAACTGCACCACCTAGTGGCCATCCAGTCATAAGCGAGGAAGTAATGCATTGTTTTGAAAGGAGAACTAGAGCGTTTTAATAAATGTTTTAAACTTACCCAAGCTTATTTGTATGGATGCAAGTTTGCTGAAATAGTCAACTATTTGTTTGCAGGTTGCAAGCTTCTATATAAGCAGGATTTCGCAAAACTTTTGGGACTGCGTTGTGTTATCTGCAGCTACTGTTCACAGCTGTGTAAGCGGGCAGCAGCCAAAGAAATTGATGGAAAAGCACAAGATTTTTGTAGTGATGACTGTTGCAAAAAGTTTATAGACTGGTACTTTAAGGTTAGCAAAATTTATTTTCATAATTTCTGTGATTGTGATATCAATTCCTAATTTTCTCTGCCTTTTGATTCTGTTTTGCAATAGCAATGTCCATATAAATAAACCATTGACGTATTTCAGAGGAAAATTGATGTGTATATATAAGGGAGAAAACAATCAAGGGGATGAGGAAAGGTGGCGGCTTATGTAGAGCAAAGACGAGTTGGGCAGAATGGCTTGTTTCCGTGTTGTAAAGTTCTATGTAATTCCATGTAGTTACACACTGCCTCCACTTCATCTCAGCAAACAGCTTCTCCTCCACATGTATGCGAATGACACCCAACTCTCTTTGCCTCCACCCTCAACTCCACAACTACTGGCGTCCTGACCAACTGCCTGTCCGACATCAAGTCCTGGACGAGGGACAAGTTTCTCCAGCTGAACGTCAGCAAGACTGAGGCCCTCCTGATTGGCTCGCGCCAGCGCCTCCGCACCTCAGGCACTGGCAGCATCAGCCTCCACAGCTGCACATTCAACCTCACTAAGCCAGTCAGGAACTTGGGTGTCTTGTTTGACCCTGAACTGTCCTTTCACCCCCACATCCACACTATGACTGGCTCTGCCTACCACCATCTCTGCAACATTGCCAGACTTCACCACTGCCTTACCCCTCAGGCTGCCGAAACCCTCACCCACACATTCCTCACATCAAGGCTCAATTATGGAAATTCCCTCCTCATCGGACTTCCCAACTCTTCCCTTCACAAGCTGCAGATCATCCAAAACTCTGCAGCCCGTGTACTCTCGCGCACCAGACTCCGTGACCCCATCATTCCCACCTGCTGACTCTCTACAAACCTGCCTGCTCCATGTCTCCTGGCCGACCCACCCTACCATCGGTAGCCGAGCTTTCAGCCTCTCTGCCCCCACACTCTGGAACTCCATCCCACAGTCCCTTCACCTCTCTTCCTCCCTTACCTCCTTCAAGGCCGGTCTCAAGACCCTCCTCTTCGATCGTGCCTTCGGTCGCCCTGCCATTTCTCTGCCTTCCCTCACTCCTATTCCACCCCTCCCTCATGCTCGGGTTCTGACCCCTGACTGTCCAACGCCTTGGGATGTCCTCCTGACGTGAAAGGTGCTCTATGAATGTTATTTTGTTGTTGTTAAAATTTCTCCACAAGTAATGAGATTCTATTTTCTTTTAGGCTGCTAGGTGTGACTGCTGTAAAGCTCAGAGGGAGCTAACTGAATCAGTACAGTGGCGGGGAGAGATGAAGCATTTCTGTAATCAGCAGTGCCTTCTGCAATTCTATAGCCAACAGAATGAACCCGATATGCTTACACAAAAAGGACCTGAAAATATGAATACAGGTAAGTGGATGAAGAAAATGAAAAATAATGGCCCAGAGGATTAAGCATTGGGAATATTCACCACTAAAATAATAGTTTCTAAATGTCCTCCTACCCTGAAACACAGTAGAACCATATAATACAAAAGTACAATTTACATTTATATAGTGCCTTTTGTGTCATGTGGGGGTGGGAGGGTGACGTTTCAAAGCCTTTGGCCATGTTGGATTGGCACTAGAGGAGGTGTTTGTAGAGGGGAAAGATGACTAAACGCTCAGTCAAAGAAGACTTGCCTTGAGGGAGTCAGAGGGGCATCCTGGATGGAGTTCCAGAGTGGAAGCAGAATGGCTGAAATTGTGGTATGCAAATAAGGCAAACCGGATTAAGGAGCTTTGGGCAAAATTAGTTAATAGATTGTGTGTTTTAACCGACAAGTGAAGCTGGTTAACGTGTTGTTTTATTTTTCAGTTACAGATCAAATTTTTCAAACTCCCAGTTCTAAAATCACAGTAAGTATCGACCTTAAAAGAACTAAATTAATATTATTCAAGACTATTTCCATATGAAGCTGGATTTTGCTAGGAGTGTCAGACTGGCTCAGTTGATAGCACTCTCGCCTTTGAGTCAGATGGTTGTGGGTTCAATCCCCATGTCGAGATTTGGAACTCGTCTTAAGATGACACTCCAATGCAGTGCTTGGGATGTGCTGTGTTGTTTGAGGTGTTGTTTTTCGGATGAGATGTTAAATCAAGGCCCCGTCTGTTCAGGCGTACGTTAAAGATCCCATGGCACAATTTGAAAAGAAAAGGGAGTTTCTCCTAGTTTGCTGGCCAACAGTCCCCCAAATAAAATTAGTCATCACGTCATGCATATCGAATATTGCTGTCCTACAGCCCTGAAACATGCTATACCAAGGTTTATTATTTTGTGATTATTAGTACCAGCGCCCATTATTAATGGTGGGGTGTGGAATCTATTTAGAATTCAGGACAAATTTTATTTGGTCGGATGAACGTCTGGCACCTGCAGAAAACCATCCCTCTGCTTAAGAGTATCCAAACTAGACAGAGTTTCACATATGTAGGCCACCAACACATCGAAATTTGTCTGAAATGGAATGTGCGCTCACTCCATGGAGGGATTGCAGGCTTGTTTTGAGGGGCAGTTAGGCATAGGATAACAAGAATGTCCGTTGAGGTACTGCTGGAGATTAACCAGTTAAAAATAATAAATAATCCTTGCATTTAATATAGTGCCTTTGGCGTTGGGAGGCTGTCTCCACTTTTTCATCAATTGATTCTATGTTTAACTTGCAAGATGGTTGTAAAATGCTTTCGTGTCTAGGATCACACTGTCAGCTAGTCCTTTAAAGGTGTAATTGATTTATGTACAATTATGTAAGAACTCTTCCCCATTTGTGGAGCCACACTTCTGTGGTATAATTTTCACTTATTAAGTATAATTGTTAGCTTGTTTATTGCTCTGTTGGAAAAAAAGGGTTTAATTTTGTGATTTTATTTATTTAGGTTTCCAACCAGATACCAGCACCTTCACCAACACCACCAAAGGAGCTGAAGAATAAGGCATTATTGTGCAAGCCTTTGACTCAGACAAAAGCTACCTACTGTAAACCTCATACACAGTCAAAATCCTGTCAGACGGGTATGGATTAAAAACAGCATTTTCACATCTGAGTCATATTACTTTTTTTTCTTCCAGTGCTGTGGAAAATGTTTTGAGGTTTTCATTGTAGAATTTATGTTTTAGATTTCAAATAAATTTTTGAATAGAGCAGCTTTTGTCTCTGCTGTTTGTCGTTGTCATTCTTTAAACAGTACTTGTTGCATTGTCCATGATTAACATTGTGTTTTGAATGCCTCTTACCAACATGACTAGGATCACTGGCAGTTTCATGTTAATCTATTAAGTGCGTGAGAATCACAAGTTCAAATGTAATGCTCATTTGGCATTTGAACTCGTCTGCAAAAGCAGCATAATGTTCCTGTTATTACGGTCATCTATCACAATGCAAGCAGCAGCCTTTTCCAAAGCTATAAAAGGAATTAAAGAGTACTTCAGAATATCAATTTGATGAACTTATTTTAGGGATTCAGACAGTTTATTTCCAATGCTTAATTAACCCTGCTGCTTGCATCCATAAAAGCTTCACTAATTGATAAGTTTATTTGGTAACTAAGTGAGATAACTGTTCAATACATAATCTTGACTCTAGGAACTTGAGGTAATTCTTAGACTGGTTAGGTTGATGTTCTCAGTGAAAACATTTAGTCTGGTTACTTTATAATCAATTGATTAAAACAATATCATTACAAATCACAATTACATCTGCTCCCCACCCTAATGCATCACACACACCATCCAAATGTTGACCCCATGGACGGCTCATCAGGAAGAAAGTGGCAGAGAGAACAATGCATTTTGCATATTTTTCGATTTTCTATAAATACAATTGAATGTTCTTACTCTTAAATTGTGCAGCTAATAACACACTATTTAACATATACTGGTACTCCCATTTAGAAGGATCGCGTTCGAGTGATTAATTCAATTTACGTTTCGGCAAACCACAATTTAAAAATGTGTTTTATGTACATTTTAAATAACTGTATATATTATATTAAATCCTATGTCTGCTTTTTTCAGAGGATGATTGGAAGCCTCAGTTGGTTCCTGTGCCTATTCCTGTGCCAGTCTATATACCAGTGCCTATGCACATGTTTTGTTACAACACTCCAGTACCTGTGTCTATTCCTATTCCGGTAAGTTTATTGTTCACATAGTTCAATTGCTGTATTGTTATTAAACCCAAGATTGTAATTATTTTTTCAACCATGGGGAAAGCGAGAGAAAACCATTCGGTCATACTCTATAGTACAGCCAAGACTTTGATTCGCAGAATATTCCAGTAATTTTTAAAGTTCTTTCAAAATGCTAATATTTAACATATAATTGAGAGGGAGGCTCTGGCCTATGCTGATGTGTAGCTGAGCACTCTGCTGAGGCAGAGTTGACTTCACTGCAGATGTGTATTTGCCAAAGCCTTTGACGTGATGACCTGGATTGAACAATTGGTGTTGAATAAACCTGTTACACGGTTTTTGGATTGGATCTCTGGAACATCAAGGTGACTGGCACATCACCAGCTGCCCTGTGTAGGTCTTTCCACATCACTGAAGGCAGATGTGGAAAGGTAGTTCATTGAAAAACCAAGGTAACTTCTTGAGACGTGGGCCAACAACTGCTGGAAGGCATTACCTGTGGTCTGGGTTCAGGAACACACATCATATATCCAGGGTTTGATATCCACCTTGATTGGTAATCGGAGAATTAATCAGCTGCTTTTGAATCTTTGTGCTTCCGTCTGGTGGAACTATCACTCATTGAGTAGGAATTTGTGTCTGAGTGTGAATAGAAGGATGGTGGCAATGCTCTAACATGCTTCATGTTACACTGGGAAGCCAGCTCGGAGTTTCTGATACCTGCTAGTCGCCAAGTGAGGGTTCAAACCTATTAAATGACAAACTAGTACCTATCTTCCTAGGGGATGGTAAACAGGATCTCCTTAGAGCTTGCTATTCAGTTCCTGTTAACCCTACCAGACAAACCCTAACAGATAGGATGCTCCTTGCTGGACAAGCAGCAGGAAAGTTACCAGACAGTGCTCACAATGGCAAGCTATTATCTGATTTAGCTTATTAAACTCCCAACAGTACCCTAATGAACACTAAGGTTTTCAAGCTGGTAAGCAGGATGCATCCCACCAGTGAGAAAGTGCTCATTACATTGCAAAAAAAGTGAAATCTCCATGCATAAGGTAGCATACATGGAGATATGAAACTCTGGTTTGGATATTCTTAACATGGTGACAGATTTCCATATGTGTCAAACACCCAGCTGACTAAACTATGAGTTTAGGCAAACGCCCTGTTTGTTAGCCTTCCCAACTCCTCCCTCCACAGGCTGCAGATAATCCAGAACTCTGCAGCCCGTGTCCTCTCCCGCACCAAACTCCATGACCCGTATCTCCCCCATTACCGCCCGACTCCATTGGCTCCCTATCCTTGAGAGGATCCAGTTCAAGATCTGGTCCTCACATACAAAGCCTTCCATGGCCTCTGCGACCTCCTAATCCCCTACCAACCCGCCCGCTCCCTCCGCTCAGCCGGCTCCGGCCTGCTCCACGTCCCCCGACCCATCCGCCCCACCATTGGCGGGAGAGCCTTCAGCCACTCTGCCCCCAATCTCTGAAATTCCATCCCCCAGTCACTTCGCCTCTCCCCCTCCTTAGCCTCCTTCAAGTCCCGCCTCAAGACCCTCATCTTCGACCATGCCATTGGCTATCCCCTTCTCTTACCCCCCCTAACCCCAGCTCAGGTCTGAAGTGGTGTACTCTGTCCAGCACCTTGGGACGTCCTCCCGACGTGAAAGGCGCTACATAAATGTAATCTTGTTGTTGATCGTGCACATTTTAAAAAATATTTGTGCCTTATAGGGTTTGTGAATCCTTATATGCTTAAGGTTTGGCTGACCTTCACCTCACAGAAATCTTATGCCTGTATAATAGGAAAAATAAACTGAAACAGTTTACATTGGATGAAAATGGTAACTCAAGTGGTACTCTTTTCCTATCACTCATCTAGTTTCCTTCCAAATTGAGCCATTCACCTACTATATCCTTGAATTCTGATTGCATCTCATGTGTAATGTGTTTGGAGCAGGTACCTGTTCCGGTGTTTCTACCTACTACGTTGGATAATGCAGAGAAGATAGTCGAAACAATAGAGGATCTAAAAAGAAAAGTCCCTTCAAATCCAATTGAAGCTGATCTACTGGCTATGGCTGAGATGATAGTTGAGGCAGAGAGGAATCCAGTATCCATGGAGTTTTGTGGTAAGTTTTAATATTTCTTTTTTATGAATGTACTCATCTTGCAAAGAACGATACTAAGCAAAATCGACAGGCCCGTTTCTGCACTGTAAATTTTATGGATCAAATGACACTTGCTAAGTGCAACAAAAACAGAAATCGCTGGGAACACTCGGCAGGTCAGGCAGCATCTATGGAGAAAGGAAAGTGAATCAATGTTTCGGGTCCAAGACCCTTCGTCAGAACTGGGGCATGTTGGGAGGGAGAGGTTTTTAAAGACTAACAGTGGGGAGGCAGGGCAAGGAAGACAAAGGAGAAAATGGAGTAGAGGACGGGATGATGGGTTTACATCTAGCCCATCATCCTCTACCCCATTTTATCCTTTATCTTCCGTGCCCTGCCTCCCCCTCTCTGTTAGTCCTTAAAAGCCTCTCCCTCCCAATATGCCCCAGTTCTGACAAAGGGACATGAACCCAAAACATTGACTCACTTTCCTTTCTCCATAGATGCTGCCTGACCAGCTGAGTGTTCCCAGTGACTTCTGTTTTTATTTCAGATTTCCAGCATCTACAGTATTTTGCATTTTGTTTCTTGCTAAGTGCAATTTTATATTCCGTCACTAGGTAGTGCCAACAGGACAGCTCCAATCTGTTCAGATCCAGTTACAAAGCAGACGCTAACACTATTACTGTACTTAGAAAATCCTATTATTTTAGGATAATTATTATTAATTACAAGTATTAAAGAGTAAAACTATCTTACAAAAACTATTTATGTTTTGCAGAACAAATATCTTGCTCCAGTCCCTCCCACTGTAATACTAAATCATCATTTTATAATAATAATAATCCTTGCATTTGATTTAGCGCCTCATCATGTCTTCGAGACCTTTCAAGCACTTCACAGAATATACTGTATGAGTATATAGAGTATATAGAAAAGCGCTATATAAAATGAAGGATATTATTAAAGTTTTGACTGGGCGAAACAATATGAGTATGTTAATGCAGCAGCTTGTAGTATAGTAAGAGGAATACAAACATAATTAACATTTTATTTTAAAAGGAAAGTTACAGGATGACTCTTACATTAATTATTTAGCATCTACTGTTTTAAACCCAGAAAGGCTTCATTTTTGTTCCTCTTTCAAACAGAATGTTAAAGGTGACAGTACAAGACAATTATAAGAAAGTTTGACAGTGCTAAAGTATTACATCCATTATATTGTGCACCGTCACTCTTGGCTTCACGACTAGTTCCATGGGCATGCAATCAACCAGCAAACCCACAGTCATCTGAGCTATCCCTCCAACTCGCTTTAGTCACTTCCTATACTTGCTGAATGGGTCTTGGGATCCAAGTATACATAAGTGTGGTGAAACAGACAGACTATTTATATCAGAGAACCTGTAAACTTTTCTAGCAACTGATGCATTGGTTCTTAACTAAGTAACAAATTGTAATTTATTTTAGGTTGTGTTGATACTGTATCAGAGATTTGACTTCTATTATTGAATGACTTATTTTAGTGATTTGACTTCAATTATTAGTTCTATTTCAGCTTGGGAAGACCTCCTGAAGTGAAAGGCGCTATATAAATGGAAATTGTTGTTGTTATTGTATTAAAATGTCCCTGCAGCAATTTGTCTGAATACCCATATCACCTATAATAATCTGTTGTGAAATATCTTTTAGGTATCGACAATGATGAAAGTGCTGAAAGTTTATTGGATGTTTTTGGAACCATTAAAGATGACCTAGATGAACAGCCAAGTACGCCAGGAATTTCTTTTGAACTTGGACTGGACTTGGAAGTTGATTTTCCAAGAAGTATGTTTTTAAAATTAAATATACAATGGAATCCACTTATGCCGGGCGCCGGTTAACCCCGGATGTCGGGTAAATCAAACAAAATGCCAGGCTTGATTAATTTGGCATCTTTAAAACGTACCCGTTTATTTGAATGAAACGTGCCGGTTTATTTGAATGAAAATCCGGTTACTCCGTGCAAGATGTTGCGATGGTCACCGCTGAATTTACTCACTCAAGCCTTGTGCGGTGTCCATTCAACCAGGAGGGACCCAGATGTAGATGGGAAGGAGCCAAATTTTGATTGACAGTGGACTCCAGCCATTCACAAGAGGCTGGAGTTGTGCTATCAATCAATCAGAGGGGCGGAGGAACAGGGAAGAACAAGGGAGGGAAATCGTGATTGTTTGACAGCTGAGCCGCTGGTGAATGGCTGGAGCCCATCCATTCACAAGCAACTGACAGCTGTCAATCACCTCTGAGCCACCGCTAATTGGTCCCCATCCAATCCATTGGCATGGGAGGGAGGAAGCGCTGTGCCTGCTGGATGGTAAAGTACTGCACTGTATTTTTCAGCCAAACAAAGTTAAATATATTTTACTGCATTCTGTGAGAGTGTTTTTAATAATAATAATAATCCTTGCATTTGATATAGCGCTTTTCACGTCGGGAGGACGTCCCAAAGCGCTTCACAGAACACACTGTAAAGTGAATTGACTATATTTGTGGACGAACGCGGCAGCCAATTGCGCACAGCAATGTCCCACAAACAGTCGTAGATTGAAATAACCAATTTATTATTGTTTTTGGTTTTGGAGGGATTATTATTAGGCATGTGGAGTAAGGAAACTTGCCCAAGGTTTCGCCCTGCCGGGAATTGAACTCAGGTCTCTCACTTGCAAAGCGAGTGCTCTAACCACTGAGCTACAGGACTCCACATTTTAATTTTAACTGGTTCGTTAACATTCCTTCAAGTGAAGCAACATTATTATACAGTATCGGTGGCGCTCCTCTGCCGGACGGGAATGGTATTTTGATTAACCTTGGACACCTTTAAGTCAGACAAAATTAAGGCTTCCACTGTATTGAGAGTCAAATTTATCAAACGGCAGCAAAACCCTGAATAACCCCTTTACTGAACTTGTTAATATCGGATAATATAATGTCCTACAAGTCGGAAACTACCAGGATAAGTTGGAGCACATTCCAATTTTAGAGCGGTGATAGCCAACATGTGGAGAGTTCATTTTGAAGTTACTGCACATCTAATGGAACTGCTAGAAGCTGTTTACAAACTTTCTTCCAAGATGTACAAAAGCTTTTGTTGGGATCATATTTCATGGACTAACATTTATTTTTGTTGTTGTTTGTAGCTGCTGAGGAGTTGGACACTGAGAATGAGTTTCTGTTGCCACCAGTGTTTGGGGAAGAATATGAAGATCAACCAAAGCCTCAAACTAAAAAGAAGGTATTGAGGCATTTCCTCATTGCTGATATGTATAGTCTGTCTTTTGTTTATATCTTTGTTATATGTTTTAACTGTGAACTTTCAATAACACAAAATACAGTCGATCGATTTTACAATATATCTGTGAAGTGCTTTGAGACGTCTCAATTATGTGATATGGCGCTATATCAAATGCAAAGATTATTATTCAGATAATTAACATTTGTGCTAGAACATTGGTCACCAGTTTTTAATGCAATAGAATAATTGTAAGAAATTCTATCAATGTGCGGAATATGTTGAAGATAGCAAAGATCATTCTTTGTATTATCCTCTTTAAATAAAAGAACATTCCTGTCTATCATATCTATATTTGGGGACATTTTTAAATGGGTTTGGTATGAGATATCCACTATATCAATGGATCAGTATCTTAGTGTTGACTACAAAGCAACAGGTTTACTTTGCTAATTTAACCTCCATATGAAATGGCCAAAACCTCATTGTTCTATATAAGAAATCCTTGGACAATAACCCTTTTGAGAGATGTTGCCATGTGATCTTCCTCTCATCCCTGTGTTTTTCTAAGAGCCTTGACATTGTAAATGAACGGAAGATAGATTCTTAGTGGCCCTCCTCCAACCAGAAATAGATCCAATCAGAATCCCAAACTAAGAAGTACAAGTACTTGAAACAGCGAGAAAATTAACAGTCATACTTGCACTATGACAATTCAGTGTTGCCCCAGGACTACACTAGTATCATTTTAGATTGTGAGCTCAAAGTCTTTACATGGGGCTTGAACATACAACCTTGTTACCCAGAGACAACAATGCTGCCAACTAAGCCAAACTGAGGCCTAAGAAATTTCTTACTGTTATTGGTTTGTATGTCCTCTGTGCTACATGTTCTCGTATTGACTGAAGTTTAACTCAAAGACATACAAATCTGTATTTTACACTAAAATATTATTGGTTTTGATATATTTTGCTGGTTTTCCTGCTGTAAATAATCACTGACAAGTTTTGTTTTCATAGGGGGCAAAGAGGAAGGCTCTTTCTGATGTTCATTCTCAAGATGGTAGCGTTGCCACTCCTGACATTGGTTTCACATTCAGTTATGTTTATGGTTTAAGTGCGTGGAAACAATGGATCATAACCAAGAAAACGATAGATGAGGATATTTCTGAAATGGATGAATTTACTTCTCATAGTAAGTTGCCTATCAACTATTTGATCAAAAGTTTCATAATGCCTGGGCAATACTTGATTTTAAATCCTTTTTTTTATTACATCGCCCAGAGTGACATTATTTTCATGAAAACCTTTTGTGTTTGACAGAGGTGAGACCAAAAGTTAGGACAGGTACAAGTTTGAAGGGGGAGGGGGGACTTTGATGATCATGTCAGTAGAACTGAAATCGATGTATTAATATCTTTTGAATGACTTATATTAGATACTTATTATTTTTGCACTAATTTGATTACTTAAAACTTAGGTGCCCAAACTTTTCCTTGATGTTGATTTGAAAAAGGCCTTAAAAAGGTAAACCCCAAATTACTTTTTTGATACATGAACACAAGTTTCTGATAAAAGATGTTTGGTGCACAAAATTGTTCATTTGGCACAATCAATGAATGGGGCTTCTGATTGATTAATTTCCCTAAAGTCTCCCACCTCAGTGTTAAGGCTGAGATAGTTACTATAAATCTGAAAATGAACTAGTTCCTCTGGATTAGACCTAGGCAATTTAGGAGTGAAATCGGGAAGTATTTTTTCACCAAAGGGTAGTGGGAATCTGGAACTCTCCCCAAAAGGCTGTGGATCCTGCATCCATTAAAATTTTCAAGACTGAGGTGGATAGATTTTTGTTAGCTATGGGCATCAAGGGATTTGGGGCAAAAGCGGGTAACTGGAGTTGAGGTGCAGATCGAATAGAATGGCAGAACAGGCTCAAGGGGCTACTCCTGCTCCTATGTTTATATGTTAACCAAACTAACCGAGAAGTGATAGACAAACTTAAAATAAGTATAATGCGAAGATCCAGTGGTATCAAAAAAGATCTGATTTTCAAATAAAACTTAATTGTTTGAGATTTAACGATAACCATTGAAAATGGCAGAAATCTACCAAAACCACAGGCTACGTGGTGCAACCAATCTACTCAAGTCATCGATTTAGAATGGATGCATTATGGTGGAGAGTGGAGCCCCAGTATATTACAATTAACCATCTTTTTTAAGAAGCACTTTAAAATAACTGTTATTTCTTACTTTTCTGTTGCAGTATTTTCAAAGCCAGTGCAGTTTAAAGAGGACCTCTTGTCACATACCACAGCAGAGCTGAACTGTGGATTGGCTGAGTTTGTCAAGGAGGTTCGAAGGCCAAATGGGGAACATTATGCACCTGATAGCCTGTACTATCTATGTCTTGGAATCCAACAAGTTAGTAAATACCAAAATTTTTGCTTGTGAATAAATCTTCTATTCCTAGTTTATGCTGACATGTTGCTCCCTTTAGTGTTTATTGTTTAGGAACAGCAAATGTTTTCCATTATTGTGCTGATTTTGTCTATGTTCGCTCTGTTGCAATATTATCAGCACATTTACTAACTAAGTTGCCAGGGTCACTGCCTGGTTTATCTTGAGTGGGTGTTGGGGGTGAAATTTATACAAAGTAAATATACCACTGTAATGGGTCATTTCTTAGTAAAATCCTGTTTGAGGTTGCCCCCCCCCCCCCCCCCCCGCTTGAATGATGCAATTCAATGATTCAGTAGTCCTAGAGACAATTATGATGATATCTCACATGTGATTGACATCTTGCATTTTGTTCAATTAAACAAACCTTTATTGTTTCAAATTCAAAGCAAAGGTATTTCCATAGATCACATCAGTTTCTGGGACTTCATATGAAAATGGATGTTTAAAACTTACTTCCATCAACCACTTAACTTGCAGCTGCTTTTCTAAGAAATGTTTTAAACATTTAGAAGTAGGATGTGTATGGAATTAGCTTTAGTTAAGAACCGCGCACTGCAAATGCTTAAATCAAGTACTTCAGAATCTTTATCACTGAAGAGGTTATTACAGTGTTTTCTGGCAACCGGCTTGTTTTACCAAGATAACTGTGAAGTGGAATGTTTAAGAACACAAATAACACAATTTCTTGGAATTGTCTCTAGGGAGAGTTATCATGTACCAAAGCCCTCCTTAAAATCCATTCCTGGTTATAAACTCAGAAGCACTTCTATTTCTGTCTAGAGAAATGGGCTAAACATAACCATTGGAAATGGACAACTTTCTAATCATTCAATATATACTCGATTCGAAAAACTTTTCTTAGTTGCAATTTATTTTAAACTATATGCGGCATACATTCAATTGTCCATTTGTAGGTTTGCTTTAACTCAACCTTAATGTTTGTGATTTTCTTCTGAGAATGTGTTGTCGACAAACTCCTTCAATTCCTTTTTAATTACTGAGCAGGGAAAACGCTTAAAATAATATTTATAGATTTTGTCACTATTCCACTGGTGTAAATCAAGTACTTCAGAATCTTTATCACTGAAGTCGATGTTAACATTTTGATTATGACGAGCAGGATTTCTGCACTTTATTTCCACCTCCACAGTATCTATCTGAAAACAATAGGAGTGTTAACATATTTACCGACCCTCGCTACAAGACTTTTAATGAAGAATTTAATGCAATCTTGAGAAGCTGGCGACCAAGTATATTACCAAATGGTAGGAACTGAAATTAAGTTTTGCATGTTTCCAACAATGTGCTTTTAATAATAATAATAATCCTTGCATATGATATAGTGCCTTGTCAAGTCTTCCAAGATGGCTCAAAGCGCTTCACCGAATATACTGTAAAGTGAGTTGACTGTATATATTTTTGGCGAAACGTGGCAGCCAATTGTGCACAGCAGTGTCACACACACAGTCGTGGATTAAAGTGACCAATTTATTATTTATTTTTTGAACGAATTATTACCCCCGGAAAAGCAATCCGTCAATCGACTAACAACTGGGTTCCTACTTACTGCTAGGTAAACAGAGGCGGGTGGAGTAAGGAAACTTGCCCAATATTTCGCCTGCCGGGAATTGAATCCAGGTCTCTCGCTTGCGAGGCGAGTGCTCTAACCACTGAGCTACAGGACCCCAGTTGTTCTTTTAATCCCAACACTTTACACACGTGTTCATTTTACCAGCTTAATCAATTTAACAGTTTATAAAGACTTGTACAGGTTTGAAGAACTTATTTGAATTTTTTAATATTATGCTTTAAAAATCTAATGGTCCGTTTCACAATTTGTTTGTGTATTATTGAATAAAGTTAAGTGTACCAGATAAGAACTTCACAGACACATTTTCAGCCTTGGATACATAATTACTTTGTCTTCTCTCTTTTTCATCTCTGGCACTGGCTTTTTTGGGTTCACTTACCTGTCCTATCATCTTCACTACATTTTTACATGATTATCTGTGATGTATTAACATTGATTTATGTGTAATCCTCCTACAGTAAACTCCTGAAAACTCATCACTCCAAGGAAAAAGGGCTCAGTGACGAGCTATCCAGAGTGGCATAAATACATAAAAACGCTGCTGGGATATTGACAGCACGATGATTTAAGTGGCAGTGACAAGTTAAGCCAGGGTCGAGTATTCAGGGGTTTACTGTATTTACAATGTAAATAATAATAATCCTTGCATTTGATATAACACCATTCACGTAGGAAGGATGTCTCGAAAAGCACGTCACAGATTTCACTGTAAAGTGCCACGACTGTATTTTGTAGGCAAACCGAACATTTCTTATCTGAATGCTTTCTAGTTGACATCATTCGCATAAAGAGTCAGTTTCCACATCTATGTTGGTGATATCAATATCTATCTGGGCAATTCCGCCATAAATTCCAATAATACTGTTCTAACCATTTGCTTAGCAGACCTCAAATCCTGGATAAGGCTCATGTTGCTTGCTTTGGGACATGAAAGTCAAACTTTTCTTTGGAAATGGTTTCAAATGTAATTTGTTGTTGTGGCTAAAGCCCCTCATAAATTTCTTCTTCCTTTAGAGTACAGACTCTTCCCATGTTTTCCCTAGTTCCATCCTCCATCAGTTCCAACCAGTTAAATTCTGCATCACATATTTGCTCCTGCAATGAGCCCGTTACTCCAATTCTCACCAAGCTCCACTGGCTGTCGGCAGATCGATTTTGGATCCTTGTCCTTACCTTCAACTCTCTACATAATTTAAGCCCTGCTCATCTGATTCTGGTTTATTACTTGCATCTCACTCTTTCTGCTCTATTATTGATGGCTTTGCCTTCAGACACCATGCCCCTTTTTCTGGAATTCACTTCCAAAATGTCTTCGTGTTGCTTCCACTTTCAAAACGCTCTTTAGAAATTATTTTTTTAGCTGTTCTTTTGGTAAACTTCCATAATTTTCTATGCATTGCAATCTGTAAGTGCTCCAAGACATTCATCCTACGCAAAAGAAGCTATAGGGTTATTTATGTACAAGTTTGTTTTTATAAACATGTCTAGCTCTAGTATGTTGTGTGCATAATGGTAACTTGTGTCTTAACAATATCAATGTATTGATTGCTTGCTTTTTTGCATAGGATCAATATTTTCACGTGTTGAGGAGGATTATCTATGGAACTGCAAACAATTAGGGTCACAGTCGCCATTTGTTCTTCTTAATACCTTATTATACTTTAATACTAAATACTTTGGGCTAAGGACAGTGGAACAACACTTGAGACTCTCCTTTGGAAATGTTTTCAAGAAGTGGAACAAAAATTCGGAGAATACTGTATGCATTCGATATCATGTACCAGCATTGTGTAGGAATGACCATCAAGGTAAGAAACTTGACAATTTAAATAACACATTTTTCAACATCTTTCTATTTTGCAGAAGGTGAATTTATTGTCATTTACTATTTTAATAAATAAGTTTACAAACGTCTCCAATATACTGGAGTTTATAAACTGATATAGTCTTACAAATGCATTTTGGACATTAATGTGAATTATCACCAAGTGTACAATATCATCATGGCTTACACTGAGTTGGAGCCCTGCTCCTGACCCCAGCCAAAATAGATGGTTTCAGGAGCACATCAATTCTCATTGAATTTGCTCCCTTCATGCTTAAAACTTGGTTCATCAATCAAATCAGAATTTGGAACACGTTGTTGGTTAATATTATTCAAAACTTTTGACCAGATCTTAAGTAATATAAACTATAGCCTAATTTCACTGTGGTGTGCATGTGCCAGGGTGCTTTAAATTGGGTGTGCCTTTTTTGGTACTTCTTGCAGTTCTAAATATAGTAAAAGTCTATTATTCCTAGAGATTTCTATCTTTTTTTAAGGAAAAAAACAACGGGAATGCCATACAATATATCACCTAGAGGTATAGAATTTGAAAAGACCATGTTATGATTCATGTTGCAAATATATTTACTCTTGCAATAATTTATCAGTCCCTTTGATTCTAAAAGCAAGTGGGGCACATCTGGAATTGGGATTGCTTTACAAAACACACATGTATATTTTTAAATTAATAATACAATAGCTAAGTCAGAAAAAATAAAATAATAATGCCTGCATTTAATATTGCACCTTTCATGTCAGGAGCACATCTCAAAGCGCTTCACAGGATTTACTGTAAAGTGCAGTGATTTATTGTAGGAGAGTGAAGCAACCAATTTACACTCACCGATGTCCTCACAAACAGCAGTGAAGTAAATGACCCATTTTGTCTGGGGAATTGTTGGCCACAAGACAGGGAGAATGCCATGTGATCTTTAACGTCCTTCAGAATAGCAGAAGGGTCCTCGACTTTATGTCTGATCCAAATCAAAACAACTACAACAATAAGAGTACTGCACTACCCAGTACTGCAGTGGAGTGTGAGCCAAGACTGTGTTCAAAATTCCCAACATGAGGCTTGAACTCACAGTCTTCTAACTCAGAGACAAGAGTGCTTCAGACTAAGTCAAACTGACACCTGAAATCATATTCAAAGGAACTTATGAAATCCCATCTAGAATTATGTAAACATTTAGAAAAAATCATTTAGTTGAGTAGAACACAAATTATTATTTTTTCTGTTCTAATGTTGTAAATATCAACTTCCCATTGTTATATTATTAACTATTATATTATGTTGTTTTGTGTAGTTGTTCAATACACTGAAAAGATGAAAACCAATGAAGAAAATAAAATATTTTGTTTCAGATAAAATGTCAACAGGAAAAAGGAAACGTGAAGAGGAAGACCCTGTGTTTGAACAACAAGAAAATTCAGTCAATCCTTCAAGATGTCCTGTAAAAATGTTTGAGTGCTACCTCTCAAAATGGTAGGTCTAAATTTGTTGATATTGTTTACTTTTGTGTAGATTAAGTTTTGCAGTTAATTGCTTTTACCTTGTTGGGAAAATGGAGAAATTGAACTGTCCTCTATGGAACATATAGACTATACCTTTGAAACTGTGGTGTGCACATCTAGTGAAATGAACACATCAGACACTGGCTCTATAATTTCAGGAAAAAATGTGGCTATTTGGGAATTACCGACAAGTAGTTTAATTTTTGGAGAGAGGGAGTAATCAACCTGTTTTCCATGGCTCAATGATATGGACATTTTCCTTGTAGATTACAATATTAGCTCCTTCCTTCTTGGTAACCATGGGTCCGATTTCCGCAATTCATAAAAAGAACTGGCTTCCCAAACTAAGACTGAATTTAAGAATATTCCACAATTCCGTCTTCCATACCTATTAATGGGGACAATACCCCAAGACCTGGTGATGTGTGGTTTTCAGGAAAACTTACAGAAAACAAAGGTGTGTATCCTCCAATACCTTATAACCAAATTACATGGATTTCTTTATATACCTCCAAATTTGGAACTTTCTAAGTAACCACTTCATCCTCCTGTTTTTTATTCACGGAGCACTTTCTGGCAGCTGTTCTGCGCCAACTGATCAAACGTGTGCTCCCTTACTTAGTGCCCCCCCTCCCTCCCTTACCCACTCAGCACCTTTCTACCCTCTCTCTCTCCCCCCCCCCACCCGTGTCCAAGGAAAATAAAACCAGGACTAGCAGAAGTAAAGCTTGGCAGACAGCAAAATCAATGGCAAGCTAAGCAGTTTTAGCTGAGTAGGCTCCAGCAGTACCCCGATCCCAATGCACACTCTGGGATCCCTATGACTTGGCTCTTGCCAACATGCATCTAATACTTTCCGGAATCAGTCAAGCAGGATGTATCCTTTCAGGGAGAGTGTGCATTTCCATTCCAACAATCTAGCTCTGGGATTTCCATGTGTGGGTGGGATGCATGGAAATCTCAGCTTGGTTTGGATACTATTAAGCATGGTGATGGGTTTCCACATTGTCAGACACCTGGCTGACCAAAAAAGAAAAGTACCAAATGCAAGGATTTTTATTATTATTACATTTCTTCCTGTTTACCAATTGTTTTGTTCTGTAGCCCTCGGAATCTACAACAAAGAACAGATTTGTTCTACCTGCAGCCAGAACACATTGGTGGCCCCGGGAGTCTGATTTGGTACTCTAGTACTCCTTTGGACCGTAACGTCTTGGAGAATATGCTTGTACGGATTCTTGTGATCAAGGATATATATGAAGAAAATGAAAGGGACAGTTCTGAAGTAGACGAAGATGATGATGATATCAATTGAAATATTTCTACATTAGTTGTTCTGCAGCTGTAAAAGGAATTATGGCATCATAAATGTCAGCCCGTTAGAATTTAGTAAGGAAATGCAATACCACGTTGTGCATTTCTGGAATGACCCTGTATTGCTGAGCTTGAAGCAACATGCCCAGATTGGGTATTATGTAAATAACCCCAAACAAGAGGAGAATAGCCGGCATTAGCAATCTCCTTTGTGGTTTATAGGTATGTATACATTAAAACAACTGCTCTCACACAAGTCTTTTTTTTAATTATTTATTGAAATCGGTTTGTTGTCAAAAGCATTTCCATTTGTAACTTTTTACATTACAAACTAAGAATGTGAATGTGTCACATGTGTAATTTTTCTGATCTGAGAAATTGACATTAAAACTACTACAGTGTTTTAAAATTTCCCTACACAGGGGATGATGTTACTGGGTGCTGTATCCACCAGATCGGTGAGCATCTTTGTAATTAATATAGTCATTAGCACTATGAAAGCAATTTAGAGCTAGTCTCCTAATGGTTGTCCTTCCACAAATGTACCAGTTGGTGGAGTTTTCACCACTGATTCTGTAAGCATTAATGGCTTGTTTTGCTAATGGATGCAGTCCATGTAATACTCTGTAAAACTGGTTTTATGGAAAGAAGGCCTAAAATAAAGGATTAAGAAGATTACTGAATACTGACTGAATGTTGTAGTGGAGAGAAATTTAGCAACTTGAAGGGAGAAATTTCTATATTGGAGTGTAACATATGGTGTTAGCTGGTGGAGCCCAGTTATTCACACATAGCTGCTTCTTGGACATTGAGAGTAGGAGTCAGAGGGGTCAGTCATCCACACTTTCTGGGAATTCACATTCAAGACCCTGGGAATTTTAAATTGCATGTTGCATCCCAAAATCTGGCAACAAGTGTAAAATATGAGTTGAGTGTGATTTTTTTTTTGTAAACACAAGGATTTAAGTTGCTGCCCCAATGAAGCGTTGCATTTTTATGCATACTGAAAATTGTTTCACTGCTACCTTGGCTGGATAATTAATACAACTCGGCAATCCTTATCTACTTACAACATTTCCATTCTCATTGTTTTTACCCTATTTCCTCTGGTGCAAAATACAGTTGAAGAATATCCAAATAACAACCAAATTCATGACATTTGGCAGGAAAATGAATAATTTGTTCAATGAGATAATATTAACTTGGGATTTGTATCTTATATTTTACAAGTTTATATCTAATCCATTTATCTTTCTTGAAATCTTAAATATTGTTTGTTCTTATTTGTGCTTACATTGTATATTTACGTAGTGCTTTTCATGCTGGGAGAAAGACCCAGAGAGCTTAACAGTCCTCGCTGGGGGTGGGAGCCAAGGTGGGGGACTGGAAGGGGGAAGATGACCAAATGCACAGTGAAAGAGGTCGGTCTTAAGGTGAACTTTGAACAAGGTGAGGGAGGGAGCGAGTCAGGGACTTTGGGATGGAGTTCCAGAAAATGGGGATAAAAAGCCTGAAACCCTGTCTGTCGATGAGTGTAGTTAAGGAAAGTAAAATAAGTGAGCTTTTATGTTCTCACAGTCGATCCAAACAGATAAATGAGTTCTTACAGCAAATCTGAAAATCTTCATGGCAACGATGACAACAAATTACATTTGTATAATGCCTTTCACATCAGGGGGATGCGCTGGACAGTCAGGAGTTTGGACCCTAGCTGGTGGTTGGGATCAGGAAGAGTGGAGGGCCAGGAGGGTAGGGGTAGGAGGGTGACCGAAAACACGATCGAAGAGGAGGGTCTTGAAGGAGGCAAGGGAGGGGGTGAGGCGGAGGGACTGTGGGATAGAGTTTCAGAGAGTGGGGTCAGAGAGGCTGAAAGACCGCCTGAAAATGGTTGGGCCAGAAAGGCGGGGGATGTGAAGCAGGCTGGCTGTATATTGACAAATTATTTAAAATGTGAATATTTACCCCTCATTGTCCAGCCCCTTGGGACATCCTCCCAATGTGAAAGGTGCTATATAAATGCAATTTATTCTCAAGAAATCATGGCACCATAATATTGCTTACTTACCAGGAAACTTTACATAGAGCCAATGACATCTACCTTCTGAGCAGTTTCCTTTGTTACAATTACTTCATTCTTAGTTGCAAAATTACTATGAAACATAGGGCAAAGGTGGTATGAGAATTGTACTTTCTAGCTGGTTATGTCACATTAAGGAAACTTGCATTATGAATGACTTCACTATATGGAAAACATCAAATCAAAACTGCACAATCTCTGAGATAACTATGGCTACATAACAAGTCATATATACAGAGCATTTCTTGTGATCAAACTGAAGTTTTAATGTTTTCATGACTCCCTGTTGTCTTTATGTTGAAAATTGTTTCAGGTTAGATACAGCAAATCAAAGCACTCTCCTCTGTTCTCTGCATTGCTGTGACACCATTTATTTACATTTGGAGGTTGAACAAACGAGGAAGAATATTAAATCATCTACTACAAATACTTTTTCTTGAAGTTTTGTAGTTCGTTACGTTTTCAGTTTTCTCTTTGTGTATTACCTCGTTATTGTTGTTGTACCTTGTATGGCCTTGAGCATTCTGACTTTGCAACATTTATGTATGTCGATTTTTTGGGGTGCTTTTTCAATTCAATCTCTGTTGCATTTCAATCTTCTTCAAAACAATTAAAGTCCTGAGCCAGAATACTGTACCAGATCACTAAAGGAACAGTGCCCTAATATTTCAATATCACCTGTTAAATTTGCATGTGAAAATTTAGCCACTTGCAAATAATAAGCAAGACCATAATGGGAGGGAACGAGATGGGGGTATTTTGGGGTAATACTAAAGACTGGTAATATAATAGTTCAAAGCTCAATCACCATTTACAGGAAAGAGAGGGTGAAGAATGTGCAGCAGGCCTGAGTTTGCGGAGGAGAGGGCACAGGTGGGAAATCAGGAATTGTCAAAAACGCCCCCAATAATCTATATGCTAATGTTAGAAAAATTGTACTATTCTGCTATCACTGAACATTTTGTAGGGTTCATTTTGAAGATCAGGCGACTATCACAGCAAGTAAGTACAAAATCTATAATTATTGAATAAATCTCAGTCCATTTGGGTGTCCAGGTTTATTTGGGTGTCCTGAAATGATGCTTCAGATGTATAGAGCGCTAGTCAGATCCCATCTGGAGTACTGCGTTCAGTTTTGGGCACTACACCTCAGAAAGATATATTGGCTCTGGAGGAGATGCAGATTCACTAGAATGTTACCAGGACTAAAAGGGTTAAGTTACAAGGAAAGGCTGCGTAAACTTGGATTGTATTCCCTTGAGTTTAGAAGGTTGAGGGGCGATTTATTTGAGGTATTTAAGATGATAAAGGGATTTGCTAGGGTAGATACAGAGAAGCTATTTCCTTTGGTGGGGGAATCCAAAACAAGGGCCATAGTCTTAAAATTAGAACCAGGCCATTTAAGAATGAAATCAGGAATCATTTTTTCATTCAAAAGAAATCTGGAATTCTCTCCCCCAAAAGGCCGTGGATGCTGGATCCATCCACCCTTCAAGAGTGAGGTTGATAGATTTTTGGAAGGTCAGGGTATTAAGGGATATGGGAAGAAGGCGGGAAATTTGAATTGAAAGGATTAGTTGAGGTACAGATCAGCCATGATCTAATTAAAAGGCGGAACAGGCTCGAAGGGCTGAATGGCCTCCTCCTGTTCCTATGTTCCTTAAGTCATGATGATCCTACAGTTGTATAGAACCCTGGTCAGACCTCATCTGACATTTGTGTTCAGTTTTAGACACCGCATCTCAGGAGAAATGAAAGTGGGCAGTGTAAATTCAACCCAGTCAAAGCCCATCGTAAACAATACATACAAATTCTCGTTGAAATGGGCTTTCTGGAATAGAGTAAGTCTAGGTCATATATCTGATGAGCACCAGTATCCTTGCATTTGATATAGCACCTTATCACGTCTTTGAGATGTCTCAAAGCTCTTCACAGAATATACTGTAAAGTGAGTTGACTGTATATTTTGTGGGTAAAACGCGGCAGCCAATTGCGCACAGCAGTGTCCCACAGCAGTTGTGGAGTGAGTGACCAAATTATTATTATTACCCCTGGAAAAGCATATTATGTTATGGGTTATGAGAATATGAAATGAGCTGCTCAGAAAGGTATAGATGCAGAATCAATTAAGTACAGATTTAAGAGATAGATACTTGGTAAATTAGAATATTGAGTAAATATTGGAGAAAATGGGGAAAATAACTTAAAAAGATGCCACTGACTTGTAGGTAAGAACATGTTTAACAGGTCAAAAATGGCCTGCTCTTGTTTCTATGCTCGTTCTGGCTCAGAATGATAAACACTCTGCAGATGGAATTGGAAATACCAGAATTAATTACAAAGCAGGCCACAGGGTTACGAACATCATTTACAACAACCAATGCTGCCTGGGGAAAGAGCTTGAAAGTGGGATTAATAATAAAGAGTAATTTAGAAAAATGGGTGGCAGTCATACAGACATGATGGATTGCGCTGAAATGTTGCATTTTTCTAAATCTTCAGTTAAGTATGGAAAGATCTATTATTGCTCCGCAAATGATATGTCTCTGGATTCACATGATTTTAAATGAGTCCCTTTGATCAGTTTTTACCACAGATGATTGCTTTGAAATAAAGTCAATCCAATGTGTCTAAAATGTAGTGAATGATAACGTTGTTTGGGAATTCTTCAGATATTGCCTGGAGTCAGAAATGTGGATATACACAGACACCGACAAACTAGACAAGAGACAATATGTTAGATCATCTGATAACTATGCCCTCATTCCTTAAACCAAATCAAATTATTGCTGTTTCTGTTGCTAGTCAGAGCTAATGGTCTCAGAACAAATTAATTATTCACTTTAAATTTAATTAAATTTGGCTTGCTGCTAAATAATTGCTAAATATGACTGTATATTAGTTAAACAATGTAAACTGAGAAAAACGTTTGTACTGATAATCAGATCATTTTCTACTCCCTTTCTGTATTCATCAGAAAAGCACTGTTGTGCACTGCTGCTCAGGATGGAGTTGAAGACTGTGAAAGCCAGATTTGCACAGCATTTCAAATGACATTTTATTTTATCTTCTACATTGTGTGAAATTCAGAGCACCAACATTGGTAAGTCTACCTTGGTGGTATTCACAAAGGCCGCGATTTCATCGTTGATGAGATAGTCAATTGGCAGATCGTTTTCCAGGTATAATAATCCCTCCCTCTAAAAAAAACATTTGGTCACTCAATCCACGACTGTTTGTAGGGCTGCTGTATACAATTGTTTGCCGCATTTTGCCCACAAAATACAGTGACTCCACTTTACAGTATATCCAGTGAAGGGCTTTGAGATGTTCTCAACGATGTGATAATGCTCTACATCTACGATTGTTTGTGGGACACTGCTGTGCGCAATTGGCTGCTTCGTTTCGCCCACAAAGTATACAGTCAATTTACAGTATATTCTGTGAAGTGTTTTGAGACGTCTCAAAGACGTGATAAGGAGCTATATTAAATGTAAGCATTATTATTAAATCAAATGCAAGGATTATTATACATTATATATGATCGCTCTCAAAAGGGTAAGGAAAGGCTTACTGTCATCCACTTTATTCAATGTAT